CAGGTTGTTAGTGTTTTGATAGCAGATTTTTGCTGGGTGATGATGGACTTGAGGTAGTTTGCAGTGGTTGAACCCCCATGCACAGATACCATATGTAAGATAGGGATAGATTAGCGCGTAGTATAATGAGAGGAGATCAGAGTTTGGAACATAATATCTGATTGTATAAAGTATACCAACCGTTTTTTGAGATTTTCTTGGTTATGTGTTGTATGTGAGTGCTGAAGTTGAGTCTCTTGTTTAAGAAAAGCCAAGGAACTTCCCATCATTTTTATTGCTGATTGCTTTAGCCACACACGGCCACCATTTTCAGAACTTCCATTAGTACTAGCTGACCAATTTAAGGTGTGTAAAATGGAAAGTCATTGGCGCCTACTGTTAACCATTGACTGGACAACATTTGTGAGGGACAAATACCATCATTCAATGTAACCAATCAGAGCTTTAATATAACAATGTGCTTTAATATACTTACTTATCTCTCTCATCTCATTTTTCTCTTGTAATGTAGATTAAGGACCTGCCCGAAACGCTGCGCGTACTAGTGGCTTTACAAGAATGTAAATACTGTACTATCCAATGTATTCTCACAAACCCAATGTACCTTCTTGTATAAAATATATGCAGAATTATTAATAAATAAATAAATAAATAAATAAATAAATAAATAAATAAATAAATAAATAAATAAATAAATAAATAAATAAATAAATAAATAAATAAATCATCTGGATCGTCCTTTCGGACCATGGCAATAACTCAAGAACGCTGCTGGCGATCCCATACTGATTGACCTCGCTCAGTTTGCATTGAAAATATACAGCTTGCTGGATGAACGGGTATTTTCGAGAGTAAAGTCTGTGAAAACTAAACTGAGAAATCGAATGAGACGTGAGCTTTTGACATCAATCTTTTTAATCAAAACATATCTTGAAGAATCTTGTTGCTCATCATTTGAACCACCCACGTCAATGCTTAAATATGAGTCTGCAATATACAAAAACGAGGCTGTGGCAGCAAATGAAGAAGATCTTGATAATCTTCAACTGGGAAGACGTGGAAGGTCTCCACACTCATTATGTTTCTTAAAAATTACCTACTTAAAATGACCTAGATGAATTACCTGTTAGATTAAGGACCTGCCTGAAACGTATGTATATACTTGTATATACATTTATATGTATATACAAGTATATAAATAAATAAATACAGCAAATATTGGTAAGTTATCCTATTATTACATTTTATATTATATATATACAGAGATAATATTCATAAAACCATTAAAATCGTGTAGAGTACTCTATGTATTAAAATATATTACTTTGAAAACCGTACTAGTCACTAAAAAAAACAATTAGGCTACTCTTATTACAAACTCGCTACTTTCAGACCGTCAGCCGCTACTTTTAGACCGTCAGACGCTACTTTCAGCCGTCCCCGCTACTTTCAGCCATCACCGCTACTTTCAGCCGTCCCCGCTACTTTCCAGGGATGCCAGATTGGGCTACAAGTAGCGAATTGGGCTACTTTTCAGAGCCCTGCGCTCCCAAATTTTTAATTTCGCTACTTGCGACTTTTTGGGCTACTTTAAAAACAAGTTGGGCAATTAATGTTAAGAAACTCAATGATGATTTTTATGCTTTTTTATGATGTCATGTGTACAAATCACAGCAGCGTCCAACAGCTTGATTGAATAGATCACTTACCGCAGGAGGCCAGAAGGTCAGAGACCGACCCCCTGGGGACGTTGATCCTAGGAACTTCCCAAAGAAAAAGTAACCGCAAGGCAAGATAATCCTCCCCAGGGGCTGTAGATTTCCCAACCTTAATTGCCATTAATACTTCATCCCGGGTACTGTCTATAAATATAAATAAATAAATAAATTTGTTTATTCAGGTAAGGTATATACATACAAGTGATGTTACATTAATGGATTGATATATAGATAGAGCTAGTACATACAATGCCTAAAGCCACTATTACACAATGCGTTTCGGGCAAGAAAAACATTAATATCTAGAACTTAATACTAATTGAGCATAAAGAATAAAAAGTGTTGAGAACAAATACAAATAAAGATAAAAAAAAAAAAAAGGGAACATGACTGAAAAAGCAGCACAATACAATAGGTTGACAAACAGTGTTGATTAAAAAAAAATAACAGACATGGGTTGACAATAGAGGAGTTAGGTAGGTTACAGGGAATTTATTAGGTAGTGTTTAGTTTTTATCTTAAACTGGTTGAGAGAGGTACAGTCTTTAATATGGTTGGGAAGGTCATTCCACATTCTGGGTCCCTTGATTTGTAGAGCATTTCTAGTTTGATTAAGTTGTACTCTAGGAATATCAAAACTGTATTTATTTCTGGTGTGGTGCTCATGGGTTCTGTTACAACCTTCAATGAAGCTTTTAAGGTCAGGATTGGCATTACAGTTCAGCGTTTTATATATGTATAATACACAAGAGAGAATGTGCAGTGACTTAATATCTAACATATTCAGAGATTTGAGTAAGGGTACCGAGTGATGTCTGGGGCCAGAGTTGGATATTTTCCTAATAGCAGCTTTGTGTTGGGTAATTAGAGGACGTAAATGATTTTGGGTAGTAGAACCCCAAGCACAAATACCATAGTTGAGATATGGATAGATGAGGGAGTAATAGAGTCACCAGGGCAGGGCGGGGTACATAATATCTGATCTTAGAAAGAATGCCAACAGTTTTTGAAACTTTTTTTGATATATTTAGAATGTGTCCCTGGAAATTCAGCACCATTTGGTCACCACTTGGTCCGGGAGACATCTCCCGTCACGCAGGGTGCAGTTGCGCCTCCACAGATCTCCAGTATCATCTTTTGATACTGGTAATGGCTCGAAAGGGCCACAACTTACGGGCTATTCATGCCCGTGCCACCTCTTGGGTGGCTTAATCTTCATCAATCATCAATCTACTCATCCACGGGAGACATTTCCCGTCACGCAGGGTGCAGTCGCACCTCCACAGATCTCCAGTATTATCTATTGATACTGGAAATGGCTCAAAAGGGCCACCACTTATGGGCTATTCATGTCCAAGCCACCTTTTGGGTGGCTTAATCTTCTCTCTCTCTTTACTCATTACACCATTTGGTCCGGGAGACATCTCCCGTCACGCAGGGTGCAGTCGCACCTCCACAGATCTGTAGTATCATCTATTGATACTGGTGATGGCTCAAAAGGGCCACCTCTTACGGGCTATTCATGCCCGAGCCACCTTTTGGGTGGCTTCATCTTCATCTTCTGTTTAAAACACGGGAGACATCTCCCGTCACGCTGGGTGCAGTCGCACCTCCACAGATCTCCAGTATCATCTATTGATACTGGTGATGGCTCAAAAGGGCCACCACTTACCAATTCATGCCCGTGCCACCTTTTGGGTGGCTTCATCTTCATCTTAACACATTCACAAGGGAGACATCTCCCATCACGCAGGGTGCATTTGCACCTCCACAGATCTCCAGTATCAGCTCTTGATACTGGGAATGGCTTAAAACCACTTACGGGCTATTCATGCCCGTGCCACCTTTTGGGTGGCTTAATCTTCATCAATCAATCAATCGGAAATTCAGCTTGTGGTCGATGAGAACGCCAAGGAATTTGCCGTCTAATTTGTTACAAATTTGGGTATTGTTTATTTTGAGATTTATCTGATTAGAGGATTTATTGCCAAACAGAATATAAAACGTTTTGTCAATGTTAAGGGTGAGTTTGTTAATTAGTGACCTATGTTAAGTGACCTCCCACTGTTGCCTACTGTAAATATTAGGTTTCTCTTTAGGTGTTTCCAAGAATCGAATGACTGTCGTTAGAGCGGATTAGCATACAGGGAACTTGGCAGCTTCATCTGTGCTTGCATTGTTAGTGTGGCTCTGACCTCCAGAAGGATAGTTCGACACAAGTTACCGCATATAGAAAAGAAGTTACCGCTGTTACTTTTAGAATTTGCTTAAGTGTTAAGATAAAGAAGTGTAAAATGGGGAAGTAGTCTAAATACCAGAAAGGGTTTCAGATGTCCTGGCTTAAGGATCCCGTGTTTGAAAAGTGGTTGGCTGAAGTTAAAGAAGATGGAAATAAGGCATATTGTAAAGTTTGTAGAACTGAGATAAGAGCTAATAGAAGTGGTTTAAAGAAACACAGTGAAACATTAAAACACAGACAAAATATATCGGAGGTAAGTCATCAGCAGATGAGCATCAAGTCTGTTCTATCAAAGAAGGAAGATAAACTTACTAAATTTGAATGTAGTCTGTCTGTAGTCTGTCGGATCCTTAGATTATGCAGTTCAGTTTTGGTCGCCATATTATAGAATGGATATAAATTCACTTGAACGTGTCCAGCGTAGGATGACTAAGTTAATTCCCCAAATTAGGAATCTTTCATATGAAGAAAGATTAACAAAGCTTAAGTTGCATTCACTGGAAAGGCGAAGAGTTAGGGGTGACATGATAGAGGTTTACAAGTGGATGAATGGACATAACCGGGGGGATATTAATAGGGTATTAAAAGTATCAACACAGGACAGAACACGAAACAATGGATATAAATTGGATAAGTTTAGATTTAGGAAAGACTTGGGTAAATACTGGTTCAGTAACAGGGTTGTTGATTTGTGGAACCAATTGCCGCGTAACATTGTGGAGGTGGGGTCCCTCGATTGTTTCAAGCACGGGTTGGACAAGTATATGAGTGGGATTGGGTGGTTATAGAATAGGAGCTGCCTCGTATGGGCCAATAGGCCTTCTGCAGTTACCTTTGTTCTTATGTTCTTATGTTCTTATGTATGTACTGTCGCTATCTAGAAATCTAACATTATGTTTGTAACTCATCTTGTATGTATGTACTTTTACCTGAATAAACATTTGATTTGATTCGATTTGACTAAACAAAAAATTGGGCTACTCTACTTGCAAATTCGCTACTTTTTGACCGTCAGCCGCTACTTTTAGCAATTGGGATCTGGCAACCGTGACGACGTAAACATGTCTTCTGATGGGCCGCCTCCCACCTGTTGCTCTTCTGATGGGCCTCCTCCCACCTGTTGCTCTTCTGATGGGCCTCCTCCCACCTGTTGCTCTTCTGATGGGCCTCCCACCTGTTGCTCCTGTGATGGGCCTCGTATGTCTGTGGACCCTCAGGTAGGATACATGGGTCTCGTAGTATAGGCGGCGTCCCTCAAGATAATGTCTGGATCCCCAAGTTGTTTCCTATAACCTAATGCGTCTGTTCACCTAGCGATTCATAGGTGCCCTGAAGTTAGTGGTGTCCCTCAATAAACCTTAACAGGCTTCTGTTCTTACAATCGGGAATCCCGGGATTAGATCCCAAGTGGGACTAATAATAATAATAATAATTTATTTAGGAAAAGTACATTCAGAGACACAGTTGTAGAGTTACAGTACGAACATTCTGTTTGATTTAAAGATAGCGGTAATACATACAATATCTAAAGCCACTAGTACGCAGAGCGTTTTGGGCAAGGTTCCATTCACCTCATGCACCTGTTTACCTAGCATTAAACATGTATCAATCTTATTTGCTGATGACAACTTTCATTTTCTCCAGTCCTGACCCTCTGTCCTGACCCTCTTGCTCTAAATGTCACAGTGAATACTGAACTAAATAAAGTCCATCTTTGGCTAACTGCCAACAAACTGACTCTTAACATTGACAAAACTTTCTATATTTTGTTTGGTAATAAATCCTCTAATGAAATTAATCTAAGAATAAACAATATACAAATCAGTAGTAAAGTTGATGGTAAATTCCTTGGTGTCCTCATTGATAACAAGCTGAATTTCCAGGGACACATTCTAAATATAGCAAAAAAAGTTTCTAAAACTGTTGGCATTCTTTCTAAGATCAGATATTATGTACCCCGCCCTGCCCTGGTGACTCTATTACTCCCTCATCTATCCATATCTCAACTATGGTATTTGTGCTTGGGGTTCTACTACCCAAAATCATTTACGTCCTCTAATTACTCAACACAAAGCTGCTATTAGAACAATATCTAACTCTGGCCCCAGACAGCACTCGGTACCCTTACTCAAATCTCTGAATATGTTAGATATTAAGTCACTGCACATTCTCTCATGTGTACTCAATATATTTAAAACCCTGAACTGTAATGTCAATCCTGACCTTAAAAGCTATTTAGAAGGTTGTAACAGAACCCATGAGCATCACACCAGAAACAAATACTGTACCTATTTGATATTCCAAGAGTGCGCCTTAACCAAAATAGAAATGCTCTACAACTCAAGGGACCCAGAATGTGGAATGACCTTCCCAATCACATTAAAGACTGTGCCTCTCCCAACCAGTTTAAGAGTAAAACTAAGTACTACCTAATTAACTCCATGTAACCTACCTTACCCTTAAATGTTAACCCATGTCTTACTATTTTTAAACAATGCTGTTTGTTGACCAACTTGTTTATTGGCCATTTTCTACCATGTTCCCCCCTTTTTCATCTTTTATTTTTTCTTTCAATCGAATTTATACTTTAAGCTCAATTATTATTAAGTTTTAGTCTTAAGTTTTTTCCTTCCACACCTTGCCCGAAATGCTCTGCATATTAGTGGCTTTAGGTATTTGTATGTACTAGCTCTGTCTATAAATAATCTGAATGTTTGTAACTTTGCATCTATGTATGTACTTTTCCTAAATAGTATATTATTATTATTATTATTATAGTTCAGGAACATGTGGGCAGCATCCTGGGAAGGCTGAGTAATGCAACATTTGACCTTGATACATGCCTGGAGTATATACATGTATACAGGCTTCATGTCCCTAAATGAATTACCGATATAATGATAATTTGTTTCATCAATCTTTTTTTTTTAACCATACATTACAATTTTTCCTTTACATTTTAAATTTCCAAACCTATACAGTATTGTACTCTTTGTACAGTATTTTGTTTTCTCTGTTATGCAATAATATAATAATAATCCCAAGAGAGATTATTAGCGAGATGATCCCGGTAGTATTGTACGATCGGGTTCCTTCTCGATGCACAATCGGGAATCCCGGGCGGGACAGAAATGGTTGGACCTGGACGCCAGGAGCAGCCGAGTTGGACTAGTTGGTCCAAATGGTTGGACACACCTGTACTAGTACATTTCCTTTCACCTAATACTGCTGTTCACCTAGCAGTAAGTAGGTACTCAGAAGTTTAGTCAGGTTGTTGTAGGGTTTCATCCTGGGGGACACCTCGATATAATCCTGACGGGTATGAATACACTCTGGCTTCCCGTCCCCTGACAATGAATTATTATTATTAATAATAATAATTCATTATCGGGGACAGGCAATCATTGTATATATACACATTAGGTTTATATCGATGTGTCTCCAGGGTGGAACTACTGACCCGTCCCAGGATGCAACCTCACAACAAGCTGACTTACTCCTGAGTACTGTACCTACTTACTGTTGGCTGATAGGAAATAGGTTCACCATTTCTGTTCTTCTCGGGAACAATGTGCTGTATGTATTCATAATACATACAATGGGTTAGGTGGTGCCTGGTCTAGACGTTCCCTGTGCTAGCTGTATCTGCATATTTATTAATGCAGTACTGTAATTATTTTTCATGAACCCAACAATATACTATACTGTATAGTCAAAATAAGCATTAAGTAATTATTGAAAAGATAATTTGAAAATGTGTACATAATCCTGTGATTATTAAGTTACTTAAGGCAAGACTAGGGTAAAGTTGCTGGTCTCCGAACATTAGCAATTTAATAAACCTCCATCTTCTGCATCAATCAGTAAAATTAAACCAAAAACATAAGAGTAGCTTCTGGATATATACCACAAATACCTATGTTAATGTGGCAGTTATTTATAAATGAACATTTGGTGGAAATATTTGTATCCAATATTTTCAGCATCTGATTTACCTGAGGGCCATTAACATTAGGGGCCTCGACTAGGACAGGAAGCCGGCAGCTTGTCAGAGGTCCTCCCCCCCATTTGCCTTCATGATCTTCTCTAGGTTATCGAGACCTTGACTTTTCCTTACACAGTTTTGGCATTAACGGCTTCAGCGGGTGGGCAGTTCCATGGGTTTATAACCCTGTGGGTGAAAAAGTGTTTCCTGTTGTCAGGCCTACACTTGGGTTTGTCAAGGATTGAAACAGCTGATCCTTGTTTGTGTTTTTTTTTTTTTGAGATATATACAAGAGTTGTTACATTCTTGTACAGCCACTAGTACGCGTAGCGTTTCGGGCAAATCCCGATATGCAAATATCGGGCAAATAGTGATATGCAAGGTTCGGGGAATACCGTCGGGTTCATTTTTGACGCACAGTTAGACATTCTGGGTTTAAATCCTGGGCAAGACAGACATGACTGGGCACATTTCTTTTCACCTAATGCACCTGTTCACCTAGCAGTAAGTGGGTACTTAGGAGTTAGCTTGTTATGGGGTTGCATCCTGGATAGAGTCAGTAATTTGACCTGGGGGGGGGTACATCAATAAAAGCCTAACGTGTATGAATACACTGACTTACTGGCCCCCCCAACACAATAAATTATTATCAATTACTAATTATAGGGGAAAAATCCCCTATAATGAAACAGATATGATACAGTAGCAGCTTGGCTAGTGGTCGTGAATATTTGTACAATGTATATGTTAGCTTATTTCTTGTTTGGTATTATTAAATATCCACTCCATCAAACCTCTCATTAGCTTAACTGAATTATTTAAAGTTGTGCCTGAAATGTTTTGCGTATTAGTGGACTTATTAAATACTGTATACATACTCTCTTAACAATTATTAAACTGCTGTATCATATTTGTAACTTTTCAAATAAATTTATTATTATTATTATTATTCACCGAGGAGCTTGAAAGCCTACAAAGGATTGTTTATCTTGTGTTGCGTTACAGGCAGGTCTTGTGCGGCAAAGCACACAGAAGGCGAGTTTAATGATGCAGATGTGTTGGCCACCAGTAGAATGGTGCCTTGGATGAATGCTGTGAAATGTTAAATAATGACACTATAAATCGGGCACCAATTACAAATCATATTGGCTGCCTCAAATGGCTTTGGACCAGTTTGAGCAACCCTATAAATTTGATTGAGGTCATTTAAAGAGATTAAATATGTTTTCAATTGTTTGAGGTGCCAGTTGTTTTTTTGGCAAATCAGAGTGTGGCTGTTTCCCACTGCAGATTATGCTAAACTCATGTCATGCTATTTTGATTGTAATGAAAACATTCAAATTGGCATAGATTTTTTTTTTTTTTTTTTTTTTTTTTTTTTGTGTGTGTGTGTGTGTGTGTGTGTATTTATGTATTTATGACTCGTATGGTCGCTTTAGTAAGATTTTGCCATATGTGTTTAACAACAACTTCTGCTCTGTTGAATCTAAGTTAAGATCTTAATGGGTTTGTAACTGTGCACTGTGTTAGATAATGTTCCAGTGGTTTGTTGGGTATTATTTGATGTTTCAGAGAGCATATAAATCATGTTTGATTAATGCAGTTCAGCTTGTTAAGTGTTTGATTTTACCTGAATTTACCTGAGGGCCACCATCTTTTTAAAAATAGGTTTATTTATAGTCTACATTTTCCAATAAAATTACAGATTAAAATGGCCGAATTTAAGACACCGGTGACCAAGCGAATCATATCAGTTCTGAAGAAAGAGAACATGGGTACTCCACAAATCTTGATACCACCATCTCCATGTATGCGACAACTCGGATATGGAACAGGTGAGAGATATAATTAGAATTATAATAAGCTTTAGAATAAAATGGACAAAATATATATATATATATATATATATATATATATATATATATATATATATATATATATATATATATATATATATATATATATATACAGTATATAGAATATATATATATATATATATATATATATTATTTTATATATATATATATATATATATATAGGTATTATATTGGTTATATATATATATATATATATATATATATATATATATATATTTATATATATATATATATATATATATATATATATATATATATATATATATATATATATATATATATATATAATATAACTTTTTAACACTCAACCCACCAGGAGACTCGAACCCTGGCCCACAGAGTGGCAGGTACACACTGTATCCACTGCACCATACTTCAAAGCCATAAGAGAGGTAGGAATTCTGGGGTATTTAACCCACAGATTTCCACTCTCTCCCAGGCAATGAGATGATTATTAAAATAAATATATATATATATATATATATATATATATATATATATATATATATATATATATATATATATATATATATATATATATATATATTATACTAATAATAATAATAATGATGATAATAATTTATCAACTTTTTCTTGGCTCTTGTTTCCTACAGCAGTATTAAGAGAGCTTCACACTCTTTGTAGAGAGCATTGTTCCTGTTCTCTTGGTCCAGTGGATCACTTCGTGTGGCTGTTGATTCCTCCCTCATTCTTGGTGGCAAATGAATGATTGGCATGTATGATAAGTGTAATGAAGTGCCCCTTCCCGGGTGGCACCTTCGTAACTACCCATTTTCACCCACTTCTCCCTTTTGCTTTGAGGCAGTTTTGAGAAACCTTTTGGCTGCATTACCTTCTTTTGTACATTCATACCAAGGTTTAAAATACAGCCTAAAATCATTTTGAATTATTATTTATTGTTATATTTATGGTAAGAAAAATACAGTACCTGCCTTTTCCAAGTGTCCCATAAAAAATAATGGTTAAAAAGATCTCCATTTTCTTTTAGAAAATATTGTCCAAATACAGTAACTTTTTTCTAGGCATGTGTAAGTTGTATATCACAGCAAGAGCCCTATTTCATTTATTTGACTACTATTGCATTTAACAATACAGTAGGCAGAATGGCACTTGCTTTTGGTGCAGAGATAGACACAGCAGCTTGGTGTATCAAAACTGCTCGAGAGTGCTAGTGCCATAAGTTCAGAGTAGCTAGTAAGATATTACTCACAAATTTAAATGTTTCAAGATTGATTGATTTTGCTTTTTTTAGGTGTTAATGTTTACCTTTTGGAACGTTTTTCTCCAATGCGTGGCTGCTACAAATCTCCGTGGGCTGTAAAAAAAAGAAACAGGTACGATATTTTAAAACTTGTTAATGGTTAATTTTTACACATTTATTAAAAGTAACTACAGTGGCTAAGAGTAACAAAAAATTTTGAACTGTACATGCATACACTGTTTAAGGTTACTTTTGTATTTTGTTTGTATTCTGAGATGATGAATAGCTTTTGATTTTCCTTTGTTTGCTAGTTATTAGGTATTCATGTGACGTGAAACAGTTACGTAGCTATACTGGGCAGATGTAATGTGGCTCTCACTTCGCATCATTAAAAAGAAAGTGCTGCTCTGGCCCTTGCAGTGTGAAAATTGCACAGGATATAAAGAACAATTATATAAAAACTTAACACAATTTACTCTAATATTAAATATCATTATTAAATACATGAAAAATGATACCTGAAACCCTGTTAACATACACTTGGCTATCATACGAGAAAATATAAAATGAACACATGAACAAACTTACATTAATACAAGAAAATACATCCCTAGAGGAAATAGGAATTGGCTGCTGCATAGGTAAGCTGGCTGTGTTAACACCTTGATGCCCCAACCAGCAACAAAACCACTCCATACCCAAGGCCAAACAAGGGCTACAAAACCCCAGCTGGCCCCAAAGGCAGGGTAAGCAGCAAAAATCCCTACAGAAATGGTGTCCCGAACGCACCATTGAAGATAACCCTGACACGCAAAGGTAGTACTCACAGGGCACTTAGGGAAGACTAAGACACTGCAGGCACTAAGTGCATACAGCCCTGGTACACTGTAGGTACACCTAGCCACCACACCACGAACAGCAGAGGACACCCCGAAGGTAAAATCACTGCCAGGAAATCAGGGCTAGAGTTGATGACCACCCTCGATTGCATTAGTCAAAGAACTGGAATGGCTGGGTCGCCGGCGCGGAGGTGGGGTGTGACGTTTGCTTGTTTCCTTGGGATTGGAGGGAGTTCTGCCTCTGGTTTTTAGGTTGCAAGGACTAATGTCATTTAGCTGGAGGATAAGGACTAATGTCATTTCTTGGTTACTGGGGAGTTTGTCTTCAAGGGCACTGCTGTAGTGTGGGGGGAAGTAGTCCCTTCCTTCCTTCCTAGTGGAAGTGTGTGGCTCTGTTGTTGGAGCTATTGTCCCCAGTCACTAACAAGGGATAAATATTACTCCGTGGCAGGAGTTTGTCTCTGGTATCTCCTCTTTCCTCAGTAAGCTAGCATATTGTATGACCCTACAGGGACCTGTTGAAAAATGCCTTATGACACTAATGCCATAAATATCTGCTAGACTGTCAGTCTTGTCCAGTGGATCCAGCAAATCTTAACTAAGGAGGCAGCTAAGTGGCTCATGCTAAACATGAGATGTATGCTTCTCATGTTTACTGAAAGCTATATTTTTGAGGAAATGATTTATTTCCTGAGCTGCTCAATCAAGTTACTCACTATTGGTTAGCCTTGTTCTTGGACTCTTACTAGTCAATTAAGGGCTACAATCCGTAGTGGTGTAGTGGTAGCACACTTGCCCTGTACTACTCGAGCAATGTCTCCTGGGTTTGATCCCTGACCAGGGAAGATTGACTGGTTGTTAATCCTTAACTGTTTGCTCCTGGTCACCAAGCAGTATTTGGAGATTTGGTTGTTAACTGATTGGTGGATTGTGTTCCAGGTAAAACTAGTAGGTAAAGCTTAATGTGAGCTATGGGACAGGAAAGCTCTAAGCCTGTTAACAAGAGTCAAGTCATCTACTCCAGTATCCTCTTGTATAAAAAAAAAGGGCTTTCTGTCTCTAACATGATGTAACCATATGAAGATTTGATGGATTAAAAAAAAAGAGAGAGAGAGCTGGTTGGACATCAACATGAATATTCACTAGGATGTTCCTTACAGATGTTCTTGACAACTCATTGTACAGGGCTTCAGAGAATTTATAAAGCCTCCCCCCCCTCCCCCCAATCATATCCAGCTAATATCCATTAACTTGGATTATCTGGATCACATTTGACCCCCCCCCCATTCTACCAATAAAGTATGAAATGAGCTTGTGAAATCTTATTTTACTAGAAATGAAGGATTATAACAGCATAAGTTGCTCTTGATGAGTGGTGTGAGACATCTGGGTGAGCCTGTGAACCATCACTGACAGTGTTGGCATGTAAACTGTGCTCGAAAGTGATAGTTTTAGTTTTATTTCCATTAGCCAATTTTATCTGCAATATAAGTACTGTACTTAAAATAAGTAAACCATGAGTTTATCCTTGTCATGCAGGGTTTGTGGTATACATGCATCATCTAATAAAGTTATGATAAATGGATTATTTTTTATTTTTCTTCTCAGCAAAGTAGTTGACAAAGACGGGGAATTTACCAAGAGATTAAGTTTTGAAGCAGAAGTTCTGAAGAGGCTCAACCATCCAAACATAATTGGCTATCGGTCCTACACTTACAACAAGGAAGGAACTCGGTGTTTAGCCATGGAGAGTGGGGACGAGTCCCTCGCAGACATAATTGAGACCCGACAAGATGATGGACTTGGACCATTTCCATGTCTGCAAATTCTGAAAGTATAAATTCAAATTTAAGTTTTATGGATTATATTATTTGGTGTTAGCAACTCTGCATAAACTACTGAGTACTGTATATTTATAAAGAGTTGGTTCATATAATAATAATAATTATTATTGTTATTATTATTATTATTAGTAGTAGTAGTAGTATTATTAGTATTAGTATTCACAATACAGTACAGTAATTTGCACACAAAGAACATAAGACAGGTATTTTTGAATGTGCAAGAGTTACACATAAAATGATGCCACTACTACACAGAGCATTTTGGGCAAAACTTGGAATAGTTCAGAGGAAAATTATTTAAAGGTATAATGTGGTAAACATTTAATATTAATGTATTCCACAGTAGTTCCATCTGTTCACTGGGAACGGTTCTACAGAAACTTGCAGGGTAATTCCATAGCCATATAAGCTTTTGGGTTATAACTTGGAATACATTTGAATCATGCTTTGGTCTTGCTTCATGCAGGTCGGCGTTCAATCCCCGACCGTCCAAGTGGTTGGGCACCATTCCTTTCCCCCGTCCCACCCCAAATCCTTATCCTGACCCCTTCCAAGTGCTATATAGTCGTAATGGCTTGGCGCTTTTCCCTGAAAGTTTCCTTCCTTATTTAAATTCTTGAATTTGGTGGAATTAAAAATGCAGTACTGTATCTGGTTCTCCACCCCCATAACCAGGAAGTGTCCTTGCTGTCCAGCAAAAATATCCTTACTAAATTAGCTTTTTCATTGGATATAAAATAAAGTATGGAAGAAATACTATGTCTATCTTGAGGTTATCTTGAGATGATTTCGGGGCTTTAGTGTCCCCGCGGCCCGGTCCTTGACCAGGCCTCCACCCCCAGGAAGCAGCCCGTGACAGCTGACTAACACCCAGGTACCTATTTTACTGCTAGGTAACAGGGGCATAGGGTGAAAGAAACTGCCCATTGTTTCTCGCCGGCGCCCGGGATCGAACCCGGGACCACAGGATCACAAGTCCAGCGTGCTGTCCACTCGGCCGATCGGCTCCCTTAACCACTGCACTGCGCAACTCGCCTTGAGGCTCTCGACAGGTGGTGCGCAACGTGCCTCAGGGCTCTCATAGGTATAGCATATCATTCAAAACTTCTGCGGCTACATGGGATTCGATTCGCATCAGCTTCCTCAGAGCTCTCCTAAACAGACGCCATTTAAAAAAAAAAATTGTGGGCAACATTCCCGGGTATGAGAGCCTCAATACTGAGTGAGCAAGTAAGGCTGGCGCACGCAGCATGAGCTAACAGCATTACTGGTCAGCTTGTGACCACAGCATTGCCTAAAAATGTCCAAATATATATGTTACTGGTATTATTTAGCCATGATAGTATTACAGAAGAGCCTGTCATAAAGACTGTGTACAGTGTTTAGATATCAGTGAATAAAGGCTGTTCAAGATGTTCACAGTGCTAGCCACAGGACACTGCCATTATTTCGTCCATCTAAAATTCTTCGAATGACTTTTCATGTTCCTTTATAAAATAGACATGTGAAAATTATTCATTTACATGGTTTACTGACAGGATTCTGATAATAGAAGGACTGCGGTGAGAATTAGTGATGTGCATAGTATGGTAATTATGGAGGAGTAATCTTGGTGAGGGAGGGAGGGACGGAGGGTCGAGGTAGTGTCATCTGCCGGCTGGTGTATGCAACATGTTATTGTCTGGAATCACCATACCAGCTTAGTGGTTCGCTATGGTAAACACAAATGTAGATACTTATATATAACGTGTGTATAGACTGTAATAACAGCAAAAGGAGTTTGTTGGGAGGAGCCATTTTAGTGAGGGAGTGATTGAGGCTGCCGTCTGCTGGCTACTGTGTGCCTAATCATGCAGTGGCCACTATGCTGTTTGGACACCATACCATCTTAGTTGTACAGTTATGGTGAATAAAACATGTAGATACTTGTATATAATGTGTGTATATAGTGTAATATAGTAACACCACAAACAGTATTGTTGGGGGAGAAAGGTTAGTGCGCCTGGCCTTGAACCAATGAGGAAGACAGTCGCCAGCTGACTGTGTGTGGCGACGGCTTTTATTGCCTGAACTCGTCATACCAGCTTAGTTGTACACTTATGGAGAACAAAACATGTAGATAATTATATATAGCGTGCATAAATAGTGTAATAATAACAATAACAGAATGGTGGGAGTCGGAATGTTGATGAGTGGGTGTTGAAGGAGGGAGCGAGTCAGCCAGCAGTCTGCTGGCTGCAGTGTCGCGGACATTCATGTTGTTTTGGGCTCGCCAAACCAACTTAGTGGTTCGTTATGGTGAACATACACCTTTATGTGTAGATGGATATATACCTATCTACACATATGTAGATAGGTATATACAACGTGTGTTTGTGTATATAGTGTAATTACAGCAAAAACACCGATTAATCGTAGAATACACAGTTTCCGTGGTGTAGTGGTAAGACACTCGCCTGGCGTTCCGCGAGCGCTATGTCATGGGTTCGTATCCTGGCCGGGGAGGATTTACTGGGCGCAATTCCTTAACTGTAGCCTCTGTTTAACGCAACAGTAAAATGTGTACTTGGATGAAAAAACGATTCTTCACGGCAGGGGATCGTATTCCAGGGACCTGCCCGAAACGCTACGCGTACTAGTGGCTGTACAAGAATGTAACAACTCTTGTATATATCAAAAAAAAAAAAAAAAAAAAAAAAAAAAAAAAAAAAAAAAAAAAAATAATATACTGTACATGTCACATATATGAGGCCCATAATTTTGATCATAGTGATGTTCCACACACTGAACTATATAAACTCCATAAATTACACACTTTTGAATAATATTACAGGAAAAAATGGAGAATAAACAAATGAGAAACCTCAAAATAATTGTGAAACATTATATTCATGGCAACTACCGCACCACGAGGTGGCGGGGCCTAGTGACCTTGAGCGCTCCGTCGCTCAGCACCCATAATTTGCTCAACTTCCCAGCTCCATCGTGGTTAAAGTATGTCACATACAATATTCTTTTCTTTTTTAGTTTCCTGTGATCAGAGACTGCATTTTAACAATACAAGAAGATAAAATAATTTTTTGGAAAGAATTTATTTTCGGTTCACCACAGGTGTGTCGCATTTTAATGCAGAACAGTGCATTGGTTAAAACATTTAGTGATTAAAGCATCCATAAATGAGAAAAAATGGCTTCAAGCAACTCAGGTCAATGTATACAAAGTTCTCCTATATCTGTGCAAGGAGCACTGTGGAGTATATCTCAATGCAGCAATAAATATGGAATAAAAAGTAAGATTTGTTTAGGGGTATATTCCAGCTATCACATTATACAGGCAAACTGATGGTTTAGTGAAAACTGCTCAATAAACAGTTTATATTATAACTCTGTGACTAAGGTAAGTTTTATATAAGTGACATAAGTGACAATGATTGTCTTAATTTGCAGGTGGCAAGAGACATTTCTTCAGCTCTTATATACCTGCACGATGAGATGCACTTACTCCACGGTGACCTGAAGAGTGCTAACATCCTCATCAAGAACAACTTTGATACAGTAAAACTTTGTGATTTTGGAGTAACTTTAAAACTAAATGAAAATGTGAGTATACATAGAACTGTAAATATTTTGTTTATATTTTCTGTGTACAGTGTGTGTATTCGCCTAGTTGTACTTGCTGGGGGTTGAGCTTCGGCTCTTTGGTCCCGCATCTCAACTGTCAATCAACTGGTGTACACATTCTTGAGCCTTTTAGGCTCTTACACTTGAAACTGTGTATGGAGTCAGCCTCCACCACATCACATCCTAATGCATTCCATTTGTTAACTACTCTGACACTAAAAAAATTCTTACTAATGTGTCTATGGTTCATTTGGGCACTCAATTTCCACCTGTGTCCCCTAGTGCGTGTGCTCCTTGTGTTAAATAAACTGTCTTTGTCTGCCCTATCAAATCCTTTGAGAATCTTGTATGTGACGATCCTGTCTTCCCTAACTCTTCTGTCTTGTCTAACTCGGAAGGTGTCCCCTTCCGAGGTGGTGGCGGGGGCATTAGAGCTTGTTACCCCTGCCGATGCGTAAGGGTCTGACCAGTGGGCCCCCCCCCTTCCTTAGGATTTTTTGGCTGCCCTGGCTTTTTCTTGTGAGGCCAGGGCTATGGGGGGACGACTCGGCTCTGGGTTCTCAGAATGGGGTTCCTGGGGCAGGGGAGGGGTTGACTTAGGGACCTTGGGCCCCTGTTGATCCCCGCCTGGGTTTTTGTACCCTTGGGGTGGGGCTTGGTGTTGCAAGGAGAGGGGTTCTCTTCGCTCTCTCCTTGTACAAATTGGATTTGGCTGTTACCCCTCCCCAGGTTCAGTTTCGCGATCCTCGGTCCCATCCTTCTGGAGGTTTTTGGCTTCCCGTGTCCCTTCTCATGTGGTGCGGGAGGCCCTTGCGGCTTGCCTCCTGAGTGAATAAAGTGAACAATGAAATCCTTCCATTTGTGTAATTTTCAGTTAATGAATTTACCATATTTATAATAGATATGAACTGTAAATGTAACCTTGCTAACAAATTCCTTAGTGTGTTACCTATCATTTATGACCTCTTTTTCTTTAATTTGTGTATAGGGAGTGGCAAGTGAAGATGAATGTTATGTGGGCACGGAGTGTTGGTCAGCTCCTGAAGTCATTGCTTGTGATGCCATAACCCACAAAACTGATATGTTCTCCTTTGGCCTTGTTCTATGGTGAGTACAATGTCATGTGTATGGTGAGTACAGCACCGTGTGTATGGTGAGTACAGCACCGTGTGTATGGTGAGTACAGCACCGTGTGTATGGTGAGTACAGCACCGTGTGTATGGTGAGTACAGCACCGTGTGTATAGTGAGTACAGCACCGTGTGTATGGTGAGTACAGCATTGTGTGTATGGTGAGTACAGCACCGTGTGTATGGTGAGTACAGCACCGTGTGAATGGTGAGTACAGCACCGTGTGTATGGTGAGTACAGCACCGTGTGTATGGTGAGTACAGCATTGTGTGTATGGTGAGTACAGCACCGTGTGTATGGTGAGTACAGCACCGTGTGTATGGTGAGTACAGCACCGTGTGTATGGTGAGTACAGCACCGTGTGTATGGTGAGTACAGCACTGTGTGTATGGTGAGCACAGCAATGTGTGTATGGTGAGCACAGAATCGTGTGTATGGTGAGTACAGCACCGTGTGTATGGTAAGTACAGCACTGTGTGTATGGTGAGTACAGCACCGTGTGTATGGTGAGTACAGCACCGTGTGTATGGTGAGTACAGCACCGTGTGTATGGTGAGTACAGCACCGTGTGTATGGTGAGTACAGCACCGTGTGTATGGTAAGTACAGCACTGTGTGTATGGTGAGTACAGCACCGTGTGTATGGTGAGTACAGCACCGTGTGTATGGTGAGTACAGCACCGTGTGTATGGTAAGTACAGCACTGTGTGTATGGTGAGTACAGCACTGTGTGTATGGTGAGTACAGCACTGTGTGTATGGTGAGTACAGCACCGTGTGTATGGTGGGTACAGCACCGTGTGTATGGTAAGTACAGCACTGTGTGTATGGTGAGTACAGCACTGTGTGTATGGTGAGTACAGCACCATGTGTATGGTGAGTACAGCACCATGTGTATGGTGAGTACAGCACCATGTGTATGGTAATTATTCAAGTTTACTTACAAGATGAGAGATACGCTCGTGGTGTCTCAGCCTCCCAGTACAGTGTGTCATGTAACACTCAAAGACACAGTTTTTGCCTCCACCACCAACTCTGTAAAAGTGAACTATCTAACACTTTTTGGCAGCTTTGTTTCTTTAGTTTGAACCTCTGTTCTTGTGTTCTTGCAGTTACATTGTCAACAATTCTTCTTTATAAATGTTGTAAATTCCTGTTAGTCTTTTGTATGTAGTGGTCATATCACTTTTTTTTTTCCTCTATCTTCTAGCGTTAGTATATTTAATGCCTCTAACCTCTCCTTGTAGCTCTTGTTTCAAGTTCTGGGGGCCAATTACTTACATGTCTTTGCACCTTTTCCAGCTAATTGGTGTGTTTCTTGAGATATGAACAGCATACAGCTGCTGCTTATTCCAACTTTGGTATCGCAAAAATTTTGAATAATTTCTTTAATTTATCATGATCCATGTACTTTAAGGTGATTGTAAAGTTAGGAAGCATGACATACTCTCCTTGCACAATGTTCTTTATGAGTACACTCATAGTCTTATAAACACTTCAGGAGACAATTTTCTATCCCAAACCACCTCTAGATCTTTATCAGAATTTTGTAAAACTTTTCACATAGGTTGTGTGGAGCCTATTTTCTCATATTACACATTCCATAATGCAGCAACATAGTTCTTTTAACTGAAGCTTTAGATAGTTGCTTGTGTCTAGCACATGGGAAGGAAGAAAGGTACTGTAATTATCAGAAGAACTCACTAAGCCATTGCGACTATATAGCAATTGAAAGGGATATGAGGATAAGAATGAAGGAAAGGAATGGTGCCCAACCACTTGGACAGTTGGGGATTGAATGCTGACCTGCAAAAAGCTAGGCTGTCGTTCTACCATCCAGTCCAACAAGGTTAAAATAGTAGCTTAGAAGTTAATGGATGCAGTATAGTCGTCGGGGTGGTGTTTTGTGGAAGCTTGTGAAATGATTATATTAATGAAGACTACAAGATGAAAATGAGGTTTGAATGATGGAACGTAGCAAATATACTGAAGAAACTTTAAAATCACATTAGGGAAAATATTTGAATTAGAAAGATAATGAACCATAAGTGAGATGCATGTTGAAAGAGCAGCTTAGAGGGCTTTCTGATGCATCATAGATGTAGAAAGAAACTATAAAATGCCTTGCCAATATTTAGTTCAGGAAAATCATTTCTTTACCTTACCTGGAGCATACTTTCAAAGGGTTCCAGGAGTTCTACTCGCCGAGCCTGGCCTGGGGCTAGTCTTAATGTTGAGGACAGACCAAGTTTTGTTTCTACTACACAGGGAGAACATGTCGACTGTACCGGGTACCGTATAGGGGTATACAGTATACAGTCTTCTTTCTGGGACTGATAAATAATAACATCAAGAAAACACACAGAAATCACATGAACATGATATATATATATATATCAATGAGAAAATCCACTAGGGCTGTGAGGAGGGCGCGATCCTATGACCGCGGCATTGCTAAGCCACATACTCTATCACTATTCTACTTCCACACAAGTGTTTGTGAATCATACATAAAAACTTGGACTGGCTTCAGTAGGGCCTCCAGATATCCTGTGATTTCAGTAGAAATCCGGTTGTATGAGACTTACAAGTCAGTGGTGGTCTAGTGGTAGAGTATGTGCATTGGCAACCTTGAGGTTACCTTGAAGTGCTTCCGGGGCTCAGCGTCCCCGCGGCCCGGTAGTCGACCAGGCCTCCTGGTTGCTGGACTGATCAACCAGGCTGTTAGACGCGGCTGTTCGCAGCCTGACGTATGAGTCACAGCCTGGTTGATCAGGTATCCTTTGGAGGTGCTTATCCAGTTCTCTCTTGAACACTGTGAGGGGTCGGCCAGTTATGCAGGTGAACAATGCCGGGGTTGTAGGATCGCGCCCACCTCACAACACTGGTGGATTTTCTTAATAGCAAGAATCTTGTCAAGACAACTACTGCATATATTAAGATGAAAAAACTTGGAGTCAGTTTAGTGTACTTCTCTGTGGAGAGTCCCTCCGGCTCCCCAGAGCTGTACTGGACTGATGTGTGTATATTAGACTGTGGCAACGATCAATCGATGGAGTTCTAGGCCTACCAGGAACCACAAGCCAGAATCTGGCCCCCTTAGAGAGGCACGAGGAGCAATGGCCTATAGACAGCCCCATGCAGTTGGAAGTAGTCTATGTCTGCCGTCTACCAGGTCAGGGACCCCAGAAAGGTAGAAATCCCAAAACAAACTACAGCTGGTTAAACACTGCAAGCTGAAAACTGAACGAGCAAGCAGGGCTCCACAATCAGAAAACAAGCAAACAAGCCTGACATCACCACAGTTGCCACTCCGCTGTCTGTGCAACGCCCCCATCCCTGGGAGGGGGAAGGGGAGTCCCAGACCTCCTGCACCAGCTATCCAACCCCCAGTTCTGAGGCTTTTGTGTTAGGTGGCAGTCAATCGACTCTGGCTCCAATTCTTGAACAGTGCTGTGCCTTGTGGTGGTTTGCTGCCGTGTGGTGGTTTACTGCGGTGTGGTGGTGTGCGAGCGAGATGTTATTCCAAAAGTACTGGGGGTGCATATGCCTAGGGTTCCCTTCCCTAAGTGCCCTGTAATTACTGCCCTTGCAGTTTGGGGTTACCTTCCACAAACTGTGGGGGCTACCTCAGCAGGGTTCTTTAGGGTTTTCCTACCCCTCTTTGGCCTTGAGTAGGAGGGAGCATTCTTGCTGGCAGGGGTGCAAGGTACTGTACAGCTATCTTATAATACGGATAGTGGCCGGTTCTGTTCCTCCTGGAGACGTTGTGCTTTAGCAGGGTGTTTATTTTCTTTTGTTTTGTTTTTTGCCTGGTGTGGTTGTAGGACCACTTGTATGATTTTGGTGACCCTCCACTAGGTCCCTATGATTGCACACGTCGCAGGAGTTCAGCCTTTTGTTTGTTTGTTTGTTTCATAGTTCTGGGATAACTGATTAGCAGTACTGTACCTTGCCTGAGCTTCCCTTAGCAGTCAGCCTAAGGGCCCTGGAAACCCCTATTGGGGCTCATTGGTACAATGGGTGTGTCCTCTGAATCCCATCTCGCTTCATGCGAGTTTGAAAGTTGATCTGTCCCCTTGTCTTAGGGTGACGCTCACGTCTTATGGCGAATATTATCGCCTCTTATTGTGCAGCGCTGGCAGAGCCTCTTCATCTTCAGCTTGCGTTCGGGGTGGATGTCACTTCTGCTCCATTCCACAAGCTTTCTCGGGTGTTGTTTCACCTCCGGCCAGTTCATGCGCCACCCGAGCCATACTGTTAGTTGGACTGGGTGCTTTCCTCTCTCTCTCTTCTCAGTTTGTGGTGACCCCCTTCGGTTCTGGACTGTTTTTCTAAGGTTCTTTTCTTGTTAGCATTGGCCTCTGGGGGTTGGGTCGGGGAGCTTCATGCTCTCCTTCGGTGCAGGGGTTTCTGCTCTTTTGCTCCTGGTGGTCGTTTTGTTCGTTTGCAGTCGTCTCCTTCTTTTCTGGTAATGAATGATACTGCTGCTTTCTGGAGGGATCCTTGGGTTGTTGATGCTTGGTTGGTTCAGCCGGGGGTGCATCATGTTTGTGTCTTGTTGTGGCTTTTCTCCGTTACTTGCGCGCCTTAGCCTCAGTGGCCGGTGACGCACTTTGGGTTACCCAGTTTCCCTTTTTCCCTGTTCCAGGGCGTGGGTTTCCCAGGTTGTCTGCAGCATTATTCGGTCGAGCCAGCCTGCGATCTATCCCCCGTGCCCATGACGTTCATAAGTTTGCTGCTTTATCTGCTGTTTTTGGTAATATATCTTAGGCTGACATTCAGGCACGGGCTTTTGGAGGTCGAACAGAGTCCTGGCTGCACGGTACCTCGTTAATTTACCGGGCCCTTCCCGACCATGTGTAGCCTTGGGTGCAGGTTGCAGCCAGTTGCCTCGCTTTCGAGTTAAGGAGCGAGTGGCTGCCACCTCCCGGGTAAGTCCCTCTTTTCCTTTATCATTGGTTAGGTAGCTCCGGGGAGCCGGAGGGGTCTACACAGAAAATCAGTGTTGAATGTAATGAAAATCCATTTTCTGGGTGAGACCCCGGAGGCTCCCGGCAACCCTCTCTTCCTCCCGGTCGGCATTTTTGTGTTTTTGATATTCAGCCTCTGAACTGGAGTTGGGTAGCCAGTGCCGGAGGTCTAGGACCCCTTCCCCCTATCCCCCTCTCAGGGAGTGGGGAGTTGAGCAAACACCGGGCGCTATGGTGACGTCATGCTTGTTTACATGTTTTCTAATTGGGGAGCTCTGCTTGCTTGTTCGGCTTTCAGTTTGCAATGTTTAACCAGCTGTAGTTTGTTTTGGGCTTCCTAACTTTCTGGGTACTTGACCTGGTAGATGGCAGATATAGACTGCTTCCAACTACATGGGGGTGTCAACGGGTCATTGCTCCTCATGCCTCTCTGAGGGGACCAGGTTCTGGCTTGTGCTCCCCAGTAGGCCTAGAACTCCATCGATTGACTGTTGCTACGGTCTATTATATATACACATCAACCCGGTATAGCTCCGGAGAGCCTCTGGGTCTCACTCAGAAAATGCTGTTTCATTAAATTCAATGATGATTTTTTGTGCTAAATCATTAGTATATTAAAATATCTTTGTGAATTAACCATATCATTACCATTTTAGGGAGATGTTGTCCCTTAACCCTCCTCATATGGATAAACTGGACTTCAGTGAGGCTACATCAGAAGAGAAGACTGATACTTCAGATGGCGGGAAAGATGAAGAGTTTTATAAAGCACTAGGTAATTTCTAACTGCCTTAAATCTTTATCATATTTATATTTGAAGATACAAAAATAAAATGAAACTTTACTATAATAATAATTGCAACACTAATTTGTTAAGTGCACTCTATCATTATTTTTTTTTTTTTTTTTTTTTTTTTTTTTTTAAGCAGCAGCTGTAATCTTTTGGCATACTGTAGTTCCCAAGACATGCATTATGTAGTACAAAAAAGCAGCGTTGAATGTAATGAAATGCCAGTTTCTGGGTAAACCCCCTTACTGATTAAGTGGCTTAGCAGAAAAGCTAAGCCTACTGACATGCGAAATTGGAGATGAAAAACATGGAAACTGCTTCTCAGAGGATCAGCACAAACAGCTTCAGCAAGGCAGACAACGCATAAGCAGCCGAGACAAAGACCCAAGCTGAGGGTCCACCACCCTGTGCCCCTGCATCTTCTGAAAGCCAATCCAAAAATAGCTCCAGAAGACCAAAGAAACGTAAGACAGAGGCCAAATGACTGCGAGTCCAAAAGTCGTCGGCCCACCAAAGCAGCCGAAATAGAGGGGGACCTGAGCATGCAGCTGCATCAGACCAACACCACGAGGAAGTCCAGGGGTGAAGAGGGACTCATTGAGAAACCCACAAGAACATCAACAACACACAGGAACATCCCGCCACATGTGTGCGGTTACGACAAAAGCTAGCCAAGCCCCAAGAGAAAAGGGGCAGTCCGTTTGCCAGGAAGACGCCAGGACCTCGGAAGGCACCCAGTATGTGGAAGAAGAACTGAACTCAAAGAAAACTAGAACCAACACCGAGGCATAAACCAGGTCTCACAGGAGGTGAGCACCGAGTACCTCCTGAACCTCTGCAGGGGAAATCCAAGAGGAAGAAACCAGGGCTTGTATGGTAAATGAGGCCTACAGGAAGCCCAGGCACTAGGGCCAGCCAAGCCGGTAAACCCTGTCAATGCAGGCAATCCAACTGCAAGCAGCCAGAGAAAAGCCTGGGAGGGGGGGGGGGGGGGAATTATAGGAGGACCACCACCACACCCCAGGCAAAGCCTAATCAGGCGAAAAGCAGAATTCTGTCAGAAAAGGCAAAAAATGCTGGAAAAAGTAGAAGCCCAATAAAACTCCTGAACTCCACAACAGCAAAGTCAGAGAGAAACATCGACACGCCGTCAAAAGCTGAAAAGCGGTCTGCGCCACCCGCTGTGCTTCCCACGAGCCAACAAACACACCCCCTACCCAGAGCAAGGCGGAAAACCCCAAGGCCCCAGACACACCCCAAGGGCGAAGACAAACCACAAGTGAGGAAGTCCTCTAATGGGGTGTGATCCCCAAACACCCCAGGAGAGATAACCTCGAGACGCACAGGTAGTACTTACGGAGCACCTAAGGAAGGTGGCCCTAAGTGCATGATGCTACAGTTCTCGAAACGCCTGGCAACACGCACACATCCATTTTACAACACTTCGGCAAGGGTGAAAACACCAAAGAAAATGGGAATACGGAGTCAGAACGACAGCGACCACTCGGCACGACTACATCAATCCAAGAACTGACTGGGGTGGCTGGACTTACCCAGACAGGTTTCCCCTGTCCTCTGTGGAGGAACTTTTCAACCAGGCAGTAGTCCATTTTGATTTGCCTACCTTTCTGGGTGCCTTCCCTGGTCGATGGCAAGATGACACTTTAAATGTAAAGTGTTCATGAGCCATTGCTCCCTTTGCCTCTCTTAGGGGGCCAGGTTCTGGCTTGTGGTCCCCAGTAGGCTTACAAAGAACTCTGCAACTGATGACACTCAAGTACTATGGCACTTGATCAGTAAGATAACCTCAGAGAGCCGACAGGGCTTCCCCACAGAAATTAACACTCAGGGATGGTTCCCTCTGTGTTTTTTATGTCCTTAAAACACCTATCAGGAGTCAGTGCCATTTCAAACTGACTCCCCTCACAGGGGCAAGAAACATGTTAATATCAAAGCTTAACCCAGCATTTAGGTGATAAAGTTCCCCACAATTTGTCACAAAACAGTGCCTCCCTCCAAGAAATGTTTAGAAATTCCTGAACTGCCAAACAAAACTGTAACCAGCTAATAATACACAAGGTGATTTCCTCACTGCCATTAGATGAGCGCCTCCGGTGAAGTGACCATCTTGGTAGCTTGCCTGGCACCGCCTCATGTGTTCCTATAGTTCCTGCTATAGACAAGTAGTGAACTCATTTGCTTTGGTTTGGAATTGAGAACTTCTCTTATGTGGCTGTTTAGTAGATGCTGTTGCTAAGGAAAATCATTCATACATATCCCATCATTCCCTGCACAAATTTCTACCCTTATAATGTTATCTGCAGTAAAGTTATCCATAACTTTTAGTATGATAGATACTGTAGATGGCTACTGCCAATAACAAATGAAGTGGCATCAATTGTGACTTCTATAACCATAATAAGAAGTGGAGAAATGCCCTTTTCCCCAATATATAACACACAAGGTTAATTTGTTGGTACTAAATGGAATGGAAACTCATCCCTTATGCTTAGTCATCTGTCTCCTGGTTGCATGTCTCGATTTTCAAAATCTGAAAGTTTGCTTCTCCACTGGTGCTATATGCACCTGGTTCTATATGCACCTGGTGCTATATGCACCTGGTGCTACATATATCAATTGATAAAAATCCTCGATGAATCTGGCTCCTTTGTCATTGATCATCTTGTGTTTTTGTGCTGTCGAGTTGGCATCCCAAGTGATATTTATGAATTCTTGATTTTTCTGTGCCATGACAACCTTTCATGCTCTTCCTTTTAATAATTGCTTGCTTACAGGCAAAGTGTCATTCGTCCATAAAGCCTCAATGTGGCGTTTCTCTATATTGCAGCATTTAACTTTTTAAAACGTTAAATATTAAATTACGTTTGTGTGAGCAGCAGTTTACTGTTTACTTGTTTTCCAGGGACACGACCAGCTCTACCCGACGTTGTGTTGGGTGATGACTACCTGCCCGTGTTGGAGATATTCTACGCTTGTACTGAGGCTGATCATGCTAGGAGGCCATCAGCCAAACAAGTTTTGCATGTTCTTGATTGTCTGAAATAAAAATGAAAGGAAATATGAAACTTGAGAAAATGTTTGTCTTAATCGTGTTGATAAAAAATATTGTTCTATAATTTGTAAGGTTTCATTGCTCACAGTGCCTTGTTGTAATATAGTGAGAAGCCAAATATGAATGTTTCTAAGCACGAGGCAAATAGTGCTTGTACACTCTTGTATACGTACACATGCATGTGTGCATTCAATTACACACTTGTTAATTCATCAATATACCTTTTAATCATATTAGCTGTAAATTTTAATTTAGTTTTTTTCTCCACCTGTCACCCTTCATTGCATTATTATGTATATTCTTCAACATTTTATAAATTATCATACATTCTTCATAACATCTCCACTATGCTTTCATTCCCACATTATTTCTTTGGTTAACTTTATCATATCAAGTCCCTTATTTTTTATTGCAATATGTAAGTTTAAAAGTACAGTATTTTTTTCTATTGTATTTAGCAAGATATTTATTTGTATATATATAACTATTCCAGTACTATATAGACAAATACAAATTATCAGGGCAAATGTTGTCATTTTTGTTCTAAGCTGTGGACAAAGCAGGCAGGCAAATCAACACACACTGACTGGTATGACTAAACAGTGTTACACAAACTATTCCAACTTCAAAATTCAAAGACCTTATCATGCTAGATCTCAAGATCTAGCAGAGCTTAAGGGGGCGTCAGAGGATTATAGATGAAAGTTGTTCAATGTCAACCAATATTAATTTTCTAGTTGTATATGAAAAGTGCTTAAATTGTCCCAAGTTTCAGTACTGCAGCGTAAATAGAAAAGGAGTTTTTTTTTTTTTTTTTTTTTTTTTTTTTTTTTTTTTTTTTTTTTTTTTTTTTTTTTTTTTTTTCCCCAACGTTTTTTACACATTTTCAAGTCCACACTTCAGAACACACGTTTCAGATATAATTATTCTCTGACACTTTTCTGACACATTAGCATATAATAAAGGATTTGGGGCTTTAGAATTTCCAAAACATCTTTAGTTTTCCTAATACAAATGTTCAAAGTTCCCCAAAAATTTTTTGCAAATATGGCATGTTTATTGCTATTATAAAATCAATAAATGAACTTAGAGAAAAATGAAAGCCCCCAATGTAGAGACATGCCCTCTACATATACTGTGTAAGTTTCATGTAAATTGAATGAAAAAGGAATCAGTTTTGTAAACGTTTGTGTCAATTGAAAAAAAAACAGAAATGAATAAAGTCTAAGGTTCTAAAATCTGTGGCTGAGGTTGACATCAACCAATTTTCTCCAAAATTGGCATCCTTACAGATAGGCTTACGTACAGTCAGGTGTGTAAGTTTGATGCAAATCGCCCGAAAAAAAAAAAAAAAAAAAAAAAAAAAAAAATGTTTTTTTTTTTTCTTAAATTTTTTTTCCAATTAAACTAATTATAATATTTGTTTAATATATGCTATTGTGATAGCAAAGAGTCGTAGCTATGATTTCAGTTGACACTTTCGATTGATAATCGATTTTGACCATTTTTGCATACTGTAATTTTCACAACTACAGTACTTCAATATTTTTTTTCTCCCTTCCTATTTATGCTACGATGCTGAAACTTGGACCAGATGAAACACTTTTCATATAGAACTTGTCAAAAAAGTTTCATTGAAATCGAACGAGTTTTCATTTTTGCATTTTTGGACCCAGATGCCAACCAGACGCCCCCTTAATTTAAGATCTGAGCTTAGATCTTAAAATATTTGTTATTGAGGTGGTCAACAACCTCATTAAGTGGTGTCAAAATCTTGGACACTTAACACCAAAGTGAGTTGAGTCCAACAACTAAAGTAACTTTTTATGACAACCATACAAATGGCCATTGAAGCAATAATCCAAAATATATATTCTCAATTAAGTTACAAGATGGCACAAGTGGATATGATACAGAAGTAGGACACCAAGAGTCTGTCTGTATATTGCACTTGGAGGGAGTCAGGATAAGGATTTGGGGTGGAACTGGGTTAGAATGGTGCCTAACCACTTGGATGGTTGGGGATTGAATGCAGACCTACATGACAAGAGACCGTCGCTCTACCGTTCAGCCCAAGTGGTTTGGATCCATTGCAATACCAACCAGAGGTTGGGGGGGGGGGATAAGTTTTGGCTCGTTGTTCCTGCCTCTTATCTGTCAATCTACTGGTGTACAGGTTCCTGAGCTTATTGAGCTCTATCATATCTACCTTTGAAACTATGGAGTCAGCCTCCCTCACATCACTTTCTAATGCATTCCATTGATTAGCTACTCTGACACGGAAAAAGTTTTTTCTAATGTGTCTGTGGCTCATTTGGGTACTCAATTTCCAGTTGGAGTCATTAGAAGATAAGATAAATATCCTGGAGAGGTGTTGAGTTCAATGATTGGCCAGGCAATGGCCTTTATGTAATATGGCCTTTTGTAGGTCCATCTAAAATTAGCCCCAGGTAGTTAACAGCGTGGTCATTGACTGGCTGCCTGCAGACCAGTGTCTTCAGAGTACTGACCAATCATTGCCCATGCTGAACCAGTTTATTTTTTTTTTTAAGGCGATAGGATATACAGTTATGTGTACGCACTTTATTGCTAGGACTATTTGACTAGTGACATGGTAACAAATTACAGTAAAGGAAACAATATAAGATTATTATTTTATTGCAAACATTATTGTATTAAATCAGTTTACATAAACTGCTTTAATGTCATCCATTTAAAGCCAATTACTTGATCACTGCCAGGACTAGTCTAGAACTTTAAAATGTTATTTATACTGTATTACAATATTTTGTCATTAAAAAATAAACAAACTTGATGTTAGTGAATTTGATTAAAGTGAATTCCAAGCTTGTGGATGTCTTATCATATATAAGAGTGCATTTGATAAGCACCTTATTGAGGCAACTGGAGATGGTGGCCATCAGATAAATAAAGATTAATTCAGGTAATTAATTTTGCTTCCATCAGATAAATGATATATAGATTAAAATAATAAACAGCAACATTTCTATTACTCTGTAATAACAGAATTTTAAGTATTGGTTAAGTACATTATTACCCAGATGACTTGCCTCTGATGTGTAATATTACAAAAACTGACCAGCGAGTTCACTTTTGGCTCAATAGGTAGATTAACATCCCATAATGAACATATTAAAGCCTACAAGTCACACAGAATGACCAGGACTGCTCCCCAGGAATCGGTCACTCTGGACCCGTTTGCTTGGCGCTTTTCCCTAATCATTCATTCATTCATTCTGGACCCGTTTCCTCAATGTTCAATTCCAGGGGCTCATTACTGAGAGGTTTGCTACATAGTCTCCCTGGCTTGGTTCCCATACATAGTCTCCCTGGCTTGGTTCCTTCTTTTGATAATTAATTACTGTGAGACGTGTAAGACTGCAAGTATATACAGACCCCCCATTGGAGGAATACCTTAATCTGGACACTTCCTGACTTACACTGCTACTTCTCACTGATGATGTGGTATCCACTGATGTTACAAACCAAGATGGTAATATTTGGTGTTGCTGCACCTGCCTAATTCTAATTAATAATGTAATGTGCAGAGAGAGAGTAATTACCTCAGTGTAGTTACAGGATGAGCTTGTGGTCACAAGCATCACATGAGACCAGAAGACATGGCAGGATGTGCAGAATACCCCCGTTGAAAAGAAGGTAATTAGGTAACTACATAATTGTACAGTAAAAATATTGAGAAATTTAACAGGTACATTGTAAGAAAATTTGACGAAGATGAGTAGTACATTATAGTAAAATTTGAGGATTATCATCAGGTATATTGTAGCATAATTTGAGGATTATTTCTAAGGTATAATGTAGTAAAATATATGTTCAATATAACAACCATGATATAAGATGATAGCAATGATTACAATGGTGAAGTTATATGGCTTAGGCACATATTTTGGGGGAGTGGGTAGCACAAGATGCAGTGTGAGTTTATTGCACGAGGTAGGAAACTATGAGGATGAAATTAGGTACTTTTAAATTAAGGTAGTTAGGTAGGGAGGGGGGCTTTTTGAATCCAAGGGGGGTGACTGCACGTCTTGACTCGCCACTCACGGCCACTTATTTACCTGTATTTATGTACACGAGGGGACATTATTGGGTTGTCAAAATACAGCACATATGTTGGTAAATTAAGTGGTACATTCTTGTAAAGTCACTAGCATATAACATTATTTACCTGAAAGCCAATATATATATATATTACCTAACTATAAATATATAAGCATTTATATAAATTATGTATTTGAATTTAAAAAATACTTATGTAATGACTTATGTACCCCTACAGCGGAGATGAGAGAAAACGGCGAAGGAGGTATGGAGAAATAACCGACCAGCAGGATACTACAACACTAAATCAAATTTGAATTAAATATATGATCAAACTTCTCTTAACCTAACTTACATTGTTCTAACCCAACCTATCCTTTCCTAACGAAAATAAAATATAAATATTGAATTGAAATTGAAATAAGTTTATTGAGGTAAAATACACACATAAAGGAATGAGGTAGCTCAAGCTATTCTCACCCCGTTCAGTACATCGTGTTAATTCATACATAGACACACATCACAAGCAATAAACGTATTACCGAACATTCTGAGAGATAAATATATATATTTCCTATGTAAATATTGTTTTCTATATAGTGTGGGGCTGGGGGAGGGTTTGTGACGTCAGTGGGTGAGTGGTGGGTATAGGGGTGGGCGCCAGTGTGGGGGGGTCAGTGTGTGCCCGGCGGCCGTCACAAGTGGCTTTATACGATGGCTTCCAAGATCATAAGGAAGGTCATTTCCTCTCCCAAAGCCCCAGCGGCTATTGGTCCTTACAGGTTAGATAGCTTAACTAGAGAGATTTTAGTCAGTTAACATTTGCTTGAGGCGGTGTGTGGAGCAGAGGCGTGAGGCCGGAGCTCTCACAACTTGACAGAGCTCCGGTTAAAAGCTCTAAGGAGCTCTAAAAGTTAGTTAACTTTTGGTGAGTAAGAAGCTTACGTGAAGGTGACCTTCTGTAGTGGCCCCGACCACAGTCAGGCAGTGGTGGTGTAGTGCTCTTTGTCGGGGACAAGTAGCCTGTGTGTGTATACTTGAGGCTGGTATTGTACACCCCCTCCCCCCCCTCCCCACCCCACCCCCCCAGCTAAGGTGGAACAATTGACCCTCCCCAGGAAGCATCCCACAACAGTTAACTGACTCCCAGGTACCTGTTTACTGCTAGGTGAACAGAGGCATGAGGTGACCTGCCTGGGTATCATCCCGGGGTCCCGGAGTGGAGGAGGAAGACCTCTATGGGGGCGCCGTGGTTGGTGTCGCTCCAACGTAGTCTCCACTGCACCAGTCTCCGTGGCGCAGTGGTAAGACAAGTGGCGTTCCGCAAGCGCTTTGTCATGGGTTGGTATCCTGGCCGGGGAGGATTTACTGGGCCGCAAATCCTTAACTGTAGCCTCTGTTTAACTCAACAGTAAAATGTGTACTTGGTTGTAACAAGGATTCTTCGCGGCGGGGATCGTATTCCAGGGACCTGCCCGAAACGCTACGCATACTAGTGGCTCTACAACCATGTAACAACTCTTGTATATATTAATAAATAAAAAATAAAATTCTGTAGTTACCAAGACGTGTATTGTGTAGTGGCAACAAAGTGGCATTGTCAGGTATGTAATAAATGAACAAAACATTTTTATCCTCGTGTAACAGCCTTACGTAACACTACGTAGTTTTAATAATTAGAATATTGGCAAATTTGTTTCTTGGGAATGGTGAGTGGTAGGGCCTTATTTTATTTTTTTATTTATTTATTTATTTATATATAAGAAGGTACATTGGGTTTGTGAGAATACATAGCATAGTATTTACAATCTTGTAAAGCCACTAGTACGCGCAGCGTTTCAGGCAGGTCCTTAATCTAACGGATAATTCTAAGTAGGTAAATTCTAAATTAAGTAGTAGCCTTAATAAGCTTAAGTACACTCTGCCTCCTCTACATATCAGTGTTAAGTATATCACTTAATGATGAACTGGGGTCACATCATACACCAGCATTTCAACTAAGCTTTTCTATATGTCAAAATTATACATGTATCTTAGGGAGCCGGTCGGCCGAGCGGACAGCACGCTGGAGTTGTGATCCTGTGGTCCTGGGTTCGATCCCAGGTGCCAGCGAGAAACAATGGGCAGAGTTTCTTTCACCCTATGCTCCTGTTACCTAGCAGTAAAATAGGTACCTGGGTGTTAGTCAGCTGTCACGAGCTGCTTCCTGGGGGTGGAGGCCTGGTCGAGGACTGGGCCGCGGGGACACTAAAAAGCCCCGAAATCATCTCAAGATAACCTCAAGATAGGGTTAGTTTGTTAGGTTCGCTTAGGTCAGGTTTTAAAATGTATTTGCGAACTGTTTTGGGTCCGTACCTGACTTAAACCTAACTTGCTATACCCAACCTAGTGATGCTTACACATTTTGTGTTAAGTTTTAAAATCTTGAGAAACTTGAATCTTAAGTGACCTGTAACGTGCCAGCATGATGTGCTAGGAATGGCTATGGACAAATTGTGTAATTCAGGTGTTTATTATTTGCAGGTGTTTTGATCATAGCTTATTTAATTAAAAAACTTTGTGTATTAAACTAGGCTGACTTGGGTTAGTTGGTTGTAAAATCTTTTGGCAAATGTTGTTACGTTTGAAGTGTACACTTCAAATACTGTATACATTGTTACATTGGCCTGGAGTAGGTCATGCTAGGCTGTTTCGATGCAACAGATTTATTAACAATAATAATATAGGAAAATGTCATTATTTATATAATTTTGATGCAAAGGAAAATGAGAAAATACTGTACTAGAAATGACAGCAAATATCCTAAGTTTTTGTCAGTTTATACTAGACTATATATACTTTTATCATATAGGGTAGAGGGGGGGAGATAATTGTGCACATATCTACATACTGTTCAGTACTTTTCTCACTTGTTTCAGTCAAGCTGTGCAAGCAGGCAATACCCTTTACATCTCTGGCCAGCTTGGAATGGACCCAAAAACCATGAACTTGGTTAGTGACGATGTTGTTGAACAGACTAAAACTGCCTTAATCAACATGGGGCATATTCTGGAGGAAGCTGGATGCACCTACAAGCATGGTAAGCTCCTAATATTGATGTGTAAGGGAAGGTTTAATAGAATTCAAGTGCTTGGTGTGATCTGACAAGATACAAAAATAGTTAGGAAGTTCTTTGATCAAACACTGAAGCTCAGTTATGCATCACAGATTGGAACTACTTCCAGCTGAATATATTACTGTGCATCCAAGCAACTTAAAAAAAATATATAAAAAGCAATACAGACTGCTAACCAATTCCAATCTATACAGTTTACAAATCAATTATTCCATTTTTAAGGGCTGAACACCTAGAACACATTCATGTGTTCTAGTATACTGGTACTCATTTTCTCTGAATTTTTTGATTGTGCCTCCCTTAACTAAGCATCGTTTCATTTGTTATAACTGTTCTTCATTTGTGTATACTGTGCAGTACTATATTTGCCAGCATGTGCTTATGCCCAATGTAATATAAGCATTTGAATGATTACAGTACTGTACTGTTATTTATACAAAACTTTAACTTTAGCTTCTACATACTGTATCTTTATTTATATTTAATATTGTTTACAGTGGTGAAGACAACTGTGCTGTTAGCAGATATTGGTGACTTTGCAAAAGTGAATGAAGTTTATTCAACATGTAAGTATAGTATACGAACAGTATTTTATAATAAAATTGTTGCATCTTATAAATGCTTCTAAAAGTTGGTCTGTCAGTTATGCACATGGACAGCATTAAATGGATTTCAGGCAAAATTGGCATAATGGCCTTGTCTGGATCGTGAAATATTGTCGGGGAGTGGCAGCCAGTGTGTATATATACATGTTAGGTTTTATCGAGATAACCCCCCATGGTCGATTTACAGTACTGACCCTCTAGGATACAGCCTTGCAACAAGCTGACCAACTATTTCTACCCCATCTGGGATTCAAACCTGGAATTCTTGATTGTCAAGTTGAAAATGAACTCTAACATATTGTATGTAGTCTAGTGATGACCACTGTTGGTAACTGTGTGTGTTAAGATGTCAACTGAGAAATTCACCGTCAGGGGATATGCCAGTTGCCTAGGATGGTTGACCATTGGACTTACCCAGGCCTACTAGTGTACATTTTTCAGGTTTATATTGGTGTGCAAAGGTAGCATGGTTTTGTGAGTGAAGTTACTGCTCGCTCAAGACCAAGGAGAGGTACAGTACAATAAAGAAAACTACAACACCTCTGAGTGCTTGGTCAGGTGATGGTAGGGTAGTTACAGTAGCTCTCTTGCCTGCCATTATTATTTGTTGTAATTTATGCAGTTTTACCAGAAATACAGAAATTTACTAATTGTGGCACTATCCATATGTTGCTGGGATTTCATTGAAGCTTCCTTGGACAGTTGGCTGGCGATGTCTGAATCATGGAGAACTTGATTAAATACAGAACACTAATTAAAAATGGAGTATTTTATTGTGAACATACAGCTTTTGGCATGTGGATGTTTTGAAAGTTTTATTACATTTCTAATAAGAAATATGTACCCCTTCATATATATATATATATACACTATGACAAATAAAAAAGTACTTGCCCAAGCATGCAAATATTCCAGCACTCTTAAATACATATACAGTACACAGAGATCACACTTAACGTGATGCATCAAATGAACATGCAGTAAGTTTAGTAGAACTTCGGTTTCAACTCTTTTAGCCCTGTCATAGCTCAGTCGATTAAGGCAGTGTCTGGGATGCTCCCGGACGCAGGTTCGAATCCTCGTCACGGCCCTTGTGGATTTGTACATATACAGTACTGTATATATTTTGTACACAATATATATTACATGACTTAATTTAGTAAGGAGATTGTAGAAATAGGTGTGCAGTGTGAGGGTTTGAAGGCAGCATAAATGTCAATTTATGGCACTACAGCATGGGGGGGTAACATTGCTTTAAAGCCAACCAATGGCAGCATTTACTGGTTCTAGTATCTTACTTTGAAGGTCAGAGTGCTTGATTGATATCACATTAGAAATGTTTTCTTGGTGCATGGATGGTAACTTGTTCTGCATCGATGGAGGTTACATTGCATACTGTAAGGCCGTCTTCCTTTAGTCTGATACCACCTAATGCGGCCAAGTAAATGGTGTTCAAAGTGAATTTGATCCAGGCTTTCGTCCCAACTCTAGCTGTAGTGTTTGACATAGGTGATAGGTGACATGTTGTTAATTCATCGGTTCTTGAGTTGCTATAAACCTGTGACATTTAGTCTACATGTAAGCCAGTACTGTATTTCAATTTTAAGGTGTTTAATGGTATATTTTACCACTCAAATTATAAGCTATACTGTGCGTTATACTATTTGTCATAACATTTTATTTGGTGATATCCATGTTTCAGTTGAGCCAAAACTGTAACAATTTATGCACAATTTAAGACTAGCATTTGAATGATGAGTCAGTATAGTGTAGTTGCATATTTATATATAGAACAACTCTAAAAATAAACAAATGGACAAATTCTTTTATTGAATAAATGCGTGCCAAGTGGTAATTCTCCGTACTCTAGCTGGTGGAGGGGGAAGAGTTCTTTTCTCTTGTTACTGATGACAGCATTGATTTATTTTTAATTTACAGCACATAATGTTAAACTTGTTGTAGTGTGCAAACAACAATTTCTAACATGTACCAAACTCTCAAATAGCATTTAAAAGCAGTAAAAATATTAATTTCCAAATACAGTCCATAATAAAATATTGTACAGTAAAAAGGTGTGGTATGTTGGGGGGGAAGGGGGAGTTGTGTAGGGGGTATTCAGAAAATAAAGGGTTAATAATGTTGTACATTGTACAGCATGTGCTGTTTTTTATTTACTTTTATTTTTTTATTGTTGTATTGGTCTTTATAATTGTTCATATTAAAATTTGCATAATTTTTAGTTTTCTCCGAAGCTGTGCCAGCACGAGCAGCTTACCAGGTTGCCAATTTGCCGAAGGTATGTTTATTTTACTCTCATTAGTCCATGGTGTGAATGTTACCTATATAGACCCTCCCCCCCCCCCCTTTTGCCATTGAACCCCTTTCAATTATTTCTACACCGTTTTGTGTTGGCAGTTATAGTAGAATAGGTAGTTGTGAAAAGAGGAAAATGATGTCTTTAGTTCAAGTTCAAGTATGTTTATTGAGATAAGCAATAAATACATCTCAAAGGGATAGAGTAGCTTAGGCTATTTCTACCCCCCCCCCCTCATGATGTCTTTAAGGGTGACTCTAAATGGTGTGTTAAACAGGTGGCAGAAGTTGGAAAATAATGAAAATATGGAGTGTGGTTAGTAAGGAGAGAGACCTCTTAAAACATGTAAACTGAACAGGAACCTCAATGAAGGTTGAGGTTCCCATATTCCCATTTAACAAAATTGTTAAATGGGAACATGACTGAAGAAAAATTGTAAAAGGCGATAGGAATTGGAGAGCCGGTGAAATGAAAGTGGCTCTCCAATGAGGAGTTGGCTAAGGCACTAGGAGGGGGAAATGGAGATAACAGGTTGCTAAAAACCTGTTAAAATAGATGGGGCAACATAAATATTGGCATTAATGAATATAATATAGGTGAAGATCCCCGATATCGTTACCCTGGTAGAGATAAAACTTAATGAATCGGTTTTAAATGAGATCTTCCCAAGGGGCTATCCAGTTTGGAGACAAGATAGAGCAGGTGGTATTATCAAAGCTAGTGAATGAGAATAGAAATGTAAACATTTCCCCTAGACCTCCTACGGGATGAGGACATACCTGTATTGGCACTGGAGATGTCCAACTAAAAGGATAAAATGGTACCTGTCTGTATACATTCCAAAACAGACTGTATATGGATGAAGAAATAGACAACAAACTGGAGGGACATGTAAGGGTTTGAGTAATAAACAGAGATAAAGCATTTTATAGGGTCCCGATAGTACAATCGGGTTTCTCGTCTCACAATCGAGAATTCCGGGTTAGAATCCCAAGCTCCACAGAAATCGTTGTTTTCTATCACCTCATGCCCCTGTCCACCTAGCAGTAAATAGGTACCCCAGGAATTAGTCAGCTTGTGGGGTGGGTCAGTAATTCGACCCTGGGGGGTGGGAGGGACCTGGATATAAGCCCAACATGTACTACTGTATATGTATAAACTGTATACCCCTGACTCAGTGAATTATTATTTATCATTATTATTGTTATTATTATAATGCACAACTGATGGCACTGGTACTGTACTTCTGGACTTTAACATGAAAACAATTGACTGTGGCGGAGGCTTGCAATAGGACATACAATTTCTGAACGTGATTGAGGGAAGGGGATTCGGGATTGATTATAAATAATGTACAATATATATATATAAAGGCACCCAAATTTTTGTACCAAAGCAGGACTTATTTAATATAAATTCTGAGAGGACCAGAGAACCAAAGAAAATGAAAGGGTTGTAGGAAGAGGCCAAGCCCACAAGCATGCTAGTACAGTACTACAAACAAGCACAACACAACTATTGGACATGGTTACAAGAACAGAAAGATAGAAAGAAATGTTGAGACAGGAATAGCATATTAATGTTTAACAGATCCCAATCCATTCTGTATACTGTGTTCTTAACAAGCAAACTACAAGTGAAAGACTACAAATGGGAGAAACTCTGAGGCAGAAATGAAAATGTGTAGAATAATACTAAATTGGTTCCAAAGTGGGTCTTTGTGTGGGAGGAGATTTTCAGCAAACCACTCTGAATATCGGCTTTGAAATGTAACTTTGAGTATACAAGTGTCTAAAGACACGGTAAAAACTTCTCGGGGAGCTAGACGGAACTCAAGCAGTTAGACTAGGTAGTCTAGCCTTAGATACCATTCAGTATGATATTTTAAACCTGAATAAAGTACTGTACATGCTTAAATTCAACAAAAATAGTCTGTGTACATAGTATTAACTTGTAAGTATGGGACTTGTAACTATATTTGCCTTATGGATAAATCCACAAGGGCCGTGACGGGGGTTCGAACCTACGTCCGACACAATCCCAGACGCTGCCTTAATCGACGGAGCTACGACATGGAAAAGAATTGCAACCCGAAGTTGTACTTGGATCCTGCAGCCTCTCCGAGACACAAACCAGGATTTTACACAATTCCCCCCATGCACCCGAGGCTGCAGGATCCAAGTAAAGTCAGTAGAACTTTTGGTTGCAATTCTTTTCCATGTCGTAGCTCAGTCGATTAAGGCAGCATCTGGGATCGTCTTGGACGTTGGTTCCAACCCTCGTTACGGCCCTCGTGGATTTGTTCATTTGATGCATCACGCTATTGTGATTTGTGTGTATTTGCCTTATTGAATATTCCAAAATGACTTTTAACAGGGAGGACGTGTAGAGATTGAGGCCATTGCTGTAGTGGGGGAGTTGGACCACCAGTGACTGGTCTGCACGTATACTGCTTGAAACATTGGTGAAGAAAGCCAGAGTCATATATTTAACAAATGTTTCTAGAAATTTACAAAATGTGTTATAGGAAACAGTAATATTGTAATTGGCAGTGAATTCCTCCACTAACCAATGTGACTGTTTTGTTTTTAACAGTGTGTGTGGTCGAGAGAGATTATGCTAGTAATTTTGCATAAAGTATGTTCACCCAACACACTTTTTTTTTCCTCCTGCATACATTAGCCACTGTAAGTAAAGCTGTGATGACTGCTAATAATGTTGTTTTAGGGCTAAGGCTAAGAAATGTCTCCAGTTAGATTTAGCAGTACCCTGGTGGAGCTGTAGTGAGGCATAGTTCATTAAGCAATAAATTAATTAGTTTAATACTAAGTTTAATATATATATTATATATATATATATATATATATATATATATATATATATATATATATATATATATATATATATATATATATATATATATATATATATATATATATATATATATATATATATATATATATATATATATATATATATATATATATAAATAATAATAATAATAATAATTAGGGGGGGTACTACCTCTGGTGCAATTATAGGGACCCACAGCCTCAAAGAAGGGAACACAGAGCATTTAGAGAAAAACTTGCCATTTAACTCTGAATACGTAAAAGTGTTCGCTTCTCCTACCACCCCTTTTTTTTTATGGTGTACACTTTATTATGCAAGGTTATACAGTTACATATCTGATTTTATACTAAAAATGGACATTGAGAGGACACAAGAAAAAGTTCGCTTCCTAGAGGCTGTAGATTTCCTTGAACTCCTCAGACGCCGGGCAGGAACCTAGGACGCAGGAGGCATTTCCCCTCTGGATCGCGACACTGAGGTGCTGAAAGAGAGAACGTGCTGCTCTAGGGTCGCTTGGAACCAAGATCCTTAAGAAATCTACTTGCACTCTCTCCCCATGGGCCTAGGGTCTCAGACCCTATTAGAATGAAGTTGTCCCAATGATCTAGTTCCCTGTACTTGGCTGACTTGTATATTTCTGTGTCGCTGCGGCTCCTGCTTGGCCGGCAGAGACGTTGATGTATGTGGTTGCCAGGGTGGATACGCAAGTATAGTCCAATGCCAACTGTCTGCCACCCTTCCATGGGCGCAGTGTGATTCTGTCTGGTCAGCCGGCAAAGCTAACAGTCACGGTTCAGTAGGTTGTGGGGGGGCTCTTTCTCCGCTGGACACTGAGCAGAGGCAAGGCTTCTTTTAATGTCATTGACTTCGTCGTGTCTAGTGTGCCAACCACCAGATTTTCCACAGTGCAGGCCATGCAATCCATATTCGTCAGCATCTGCCTCGCCGCAAATACACCTATGAACAGTGTGGATAGGGGCAGCAAGGCGGAGAGCGACTGCAATACAGAGCTTCTGCGGTTCAAGACATGTGCCTGTCGCAGACATAGGGACTGCCAAAAGGAAGTCCCCTGCATGGGGAGCCTGCACAGCTGTGAGGCGTGCACGATTACTGGGGGTTGTTGCTGCCTCCAGCAAAGCTGTGGCTTCTTTGTCTACAATGGAGCTGTCCCAGCTGGATTGTTTCTTGGCTTTCAGCATGGTTGGTCTGAGTGCGAGTCTGCCATGGCACCCCATTTCGTGTCGCATTCCGTGTAGTGGGGGTCCTGTATCCCGCTACATCACTCAGGGTGTCAGGTAGAATTTCCTTAACCAGGTCATCTGAGGCTGAGGAGGAAGACAGGAAAGCTGGGACAGCAATTTGGGTGGCAGTGCGGACACCCAAGCCACCGAGCCTGACAGGAAGAGTGGCTTGTTTTCACTGGCATTCGTTGAGAGAGAGGTTAACAACTTTCTAGCATGATCTTCAGTAAGGTCATATTCTTCAAGCTTTCGGTTGTCGTAAGATAGGGCGCACCTCAGAAAGTAGGTTAGCCTCGGAAGGTATAGGCATTTGGTGAGATATAAAGCATCGTGGGCATCGATGTCACCTATTGTCTTCCCTCCTCCTAAGGTCTGTGATTTTTTTGTTCAAGGATCTCCTCAGTGGCGTTAGACCCAAGGAGGGTGCTGTTCTCGGCCCTAATGACATGGGCTCCAGGCAAGGCAGACCTTATTCTAGCTACGATGTGTGGGGTTGGAGGAGACTACTTCACACTTGGAAGGGTTCAGGAAGAGACCCAGGCTTACTTCTTGCTCCCTTATTTTCCTGATATCGTCCAAGAGGTGGTCTATGGTGCCAGCTATAGTGCCATCATCCAAAAACCAGATGTTGAACTCGCTGGACAAACTTTTGGTGATTTCTTTTAAGACTACGCAGAAAAAAAGGGGAGCAAGAGGATCACCTTGCTGAACACCTTCACATGATCTGATTTAGTGTTCACCAAAGAGCAGTTTTGACTCACCACTGTAGCACAATAGTATGAATGGGTAGAGGGGCCGGAAATGGCGATGTACGGCACAAAGTACTGCATCTCTTCTGACCATGTTGAAGGCATTCTTAAAGTCCAGTTTGAGCAGGGCCTTTTCATCAGAAATGTTGGTGATGTATGCTCGTGCTGCATGGGCAGCCGCTTCACAGCCTTGGGGGGGATTCCAAATCCTAGCTGGATTGGTTTCAGCAATTCAGCCGCTTGCAGGCTGACAACCCTCGTAACAGCCTTGGCAATCAGGCGTTGAAGTGTGTTGCCAACAGCGATTGGCCTGATTCCCTCCTTTTTGAGAGTACAGAGGGATGCACCAAAAAGAGGGGCCTGATGACAGGTATATCACCAGCCAGGCACGTGTTGACGAACTTTGTGAGTTTCATAAGATCTTGTGCAGCATCACCAACCGCAGGATTTAACATATGCTTGATGTGTTGAGGTTTTAACCCTGTAAAGCCGCCTGCTGACCCAGGTGGAAAAGAAAGGGTTGCTTTGTAGACCTCAGATTCACCAACAGTTAATGGGTCTGAAATGGTGTCGGCTAGTGGCGGAACGATGTCGCCTTGAGGGGCTCTGGGTGGGTGCTTGCTTTGCATGACCTGTGCTGTGGCTGAGTTTCGAGGAGCAATTTTCTCGTCACTGGTAAGGACTCTAATAGCACTTGCGGTATTTCCCTCTTCAATTTTCTTGATTTGTGCTCTGATTTTGTACGTTTCCGGTATGTTACCATTTCTGCGGGGGGTGTGTGTGTGTGTATATTATACATACGTGTGTGTGTGTGTATGTATGTAATGTATGTATGTATATATATATATATGTGTATATATATATATATATATATATATATATATAATATAAAATATATATATATATAATATAAATATATATATATATATATATATATATATATATATATATATATATATATATATATATATATATATATATATATATATATATATATATATATATATATATATATATATATATATATATGTCGTACCTAGTAGCCAGAACGCACTTCTCAGCCTACTATGCAAGGCCCGATTTGCCTAACAAGCCAAGTTTTCCTGAATTAATATATTTTATCTAATTTTTTCTTATGAAATGATAAAGCTACCCATTTCATTATGTATGAGGTCAATTTTTTTTATTGGAGTTAAAATTAACGTAGATATATGACCGAACCTAACCAACCCTACCTAACCTAACCTATCTTTATAGGTTAGGTTAGGTTAGGTAACCGAAAAAGGTAGGTTAGGTTAGGTAGGTTAGGTAGTCGAAAAACAATTAATTCAAGAAAACTTGGCTTATTAGGCAAATCGGGCCTTGCATAGTAGGCTGAGAAGTGCGTTCTGGCTACTAGGTACAACATATATATATATATATATATATATATATATATATATATATATATATATATATATATATATATATATATATATATATATATATATATAATTTTTTTTTTTTTCCATTCTCCAATCCTGTAAATAAAAAAATTGGTAGGCACAGATGTGAGGTCACACAAATTTGTAAATAATTTGGCTATAAGGTGCGCTGCACAGTGCCGTGGTTATGCCACAACTAATTGCGAGAGCCAACAAGATCAGATCCACTACCATAGCCCGTGCTACTTGGAACTTTTTGTTGTAGGTAGCAAATCTTAAACAAGAACAAGAGCCAACAAGAGATCAGTTATCTCCTCAGAAGTTTTAGTAACCTTCAATTCCAATTATGTCCAATTCCTCTTAATGTTGGCCACAACCTTGGGATCCTTGGGATGTTTGTCATTTAGGGCCTTGGTGCTAGGTTTGCTTACAAAGGTATCACATGTAAGGAAGTTTTAAGAAATTTTCTGGGAATTGTCAGCTTAATAGGCTGGTCTAATAGCATTTTCCTTTGTTGAATCCATGTTCATACTTCCATGTCAAAATTCATATCCTTTAAGTGGTATATGATCCTTCAAATTGGTTTTTAATTCCTTACAGGAGATACTTAAATTAAGTGATACCAGTCTATAGTCAAGTCGTCTTTATGCATAGCACTACATTAGTTATTTTTTCAAGTTTATCTCCCATTTCTTATTAGTTGAAAACTATAGCAAGAGTTGCAATGTTGCAACACAATGTTGCAGCTACCTCATTAATTATCCATCTTATCTTGAGGTTATCTTGAGATGATTTCGGGGCTTTAGTGTCCCCGCGGCCCGGTCCTCGACCAGGCCTCCACCCCCAGGAAGCAGCCAGTGACAGCTGACTAACACCCGGGTACCTATTTTACTGCTAGGTAACAGGGGCATAGGGTGAAAGAAACTCTGCCCATTGTTTCTCGCCGGCGCCTGGGATCGAACCCGGGACCACAGGATCACAAGTCCAGCGTGCTGTCCGCTCGGCCGACCGGCTCCCCATAGTTATGGGACCGGCTCCATAGTTAAGTATCACTACTGTTTTTGATGGGTATGTGATGGATGCCTGAGACCTCCAGTGAGTGGCAGTCGTCTTGGAAAAAATTCTCAGCATGCCCCAGGGTCGCGGGTTGGCTCAGTTCTGAGTGAGCAACCATGGCTGGCGCACATGCCTCTGACTCGATCCCCTGTCAGTCGCGGTGTTGAAAGATCACTTTCTGATGATGAAATTTAGACCTTATGGTTTGAACAAGATAACAGTAGTGATATTGATGAAGCAAGGCACAATAAAGACCTAACACAGGTGTCAGATACAAGTGGTACAGCACGAATGAGGACGATACCGCGAATGTACCCAGTACAGGGTGAGCGCCAGGCGTGACATCACATGCAGTCCTTGGAGTTGGTGCCTACCTACCAGAGGCCACGAACCTGGCTCCCTTCAGAGAGACGCAGGGAGCAATAGCTGTACGAGCTCTACATTTGGTGTGTCATGTCTGCCGTCAACTGGGGATACCTCCAGAAGGGTAGGCAAGCCATTACAAACCTCTAACTGGTTAAAATTGCAACCTACTGTACATCCGAAAAGAGCCAAAGAACTCCCCCTCAATTGAAAACGATGAAACAAGCAACACGTCATCCAACTAACGCGCCCACTCGTTAGTGCCTCACCCTCCCTCGGGAGGAGGGGAACACACTCAGGCGAACAAGTCGCACCACCCCCAGTTCGTTGGCTGATGTGCCAGGTGCGGAAATTGTCTGTCTTTGCCGACTGTGTGTGTGGCGGCCAGGTGTTCCTATAAATCTACTGGGTTGCCTGTGCCTAGGGATCCCTTACCTAAGTGCCCAGTAAGTACTTTCTTTGTGGTTCAGGGTTACCTTTCCTGGGGCGTTCAGGTCTCACTCCAGTTAGAGGCCTTCATCGCTTAATGTTGTTCTTGCCCTTGGGGTTCACGGGGGGAGGGGGGGGGTCTTGGGTTTCTCGTGTTGCCCAGGGCAGGGAGTGGGTTTGTGCTGGGTGGGGCACACTGCGGCTGGCACAGCCTGCATCAGCAGTGGCCGACGTTTCTTTCTGAGGACCGGTTAGTCTGTGTTGCTTCGGGGTTCTTTTTGTTTGTTTTTAGTGCATTCTTGTTTCTTGGCAGAGGAAGTCTGTCTAGCTTCCTATTAGATTAGCCTAGGTTGTGTTTCGTAGTTGTCGTCCTGTTGCCGCGAGGTCTCACAGCGATGCCGGTTACTAGTTTGCCTGCAGCATAGAGGATTTACCAGCTTAGCTGGCCCCGAGTGCCTTGGCTTCCCGTAGGGCTTACGTACCCTACGGGCCCTGGAAATCCCTGTAGAGCTTGGTGGTACCATGGACACGTCTTCTAAGACCCATCTCGCCTTGTGCGATACCGAGGGATGTTCGTTGCCCTTGCCTCATGGTCACGATAATCCATCCTGCCTTCATGCTGCCTGTTGGGTCGGTGACACCTAGTGGTAGAAAATAATAAAAAAAAAAAAGTCTTGCGGGATGTGTTCCCCGCTTGTTATTCAATTTACCCATTCTTCGTCTGAGAATGTTTGGGGTCAGACGGTGATTTGAATGCATGCTAGGTAGTCCGTTAATAGGGAATTAAGAAACTTAGATTGTCATACCCATTAGGAAGACCTGGACAAAATAAGTGTGTGGAGCAACATTTGGCAGATGGAATTTAATGTGAATAAATGCCATATTTTGGGAAGTGGAATAGGAGAAAATAGGTTGCACACAACCTACAAATTATGTGAAACAGTTTATAAGAATTCCAATAAAGAGATATAGGGTTCTTGATAAAAAAAATCTACAGTATCTACAAAACAGTAACAGGAATCAATAAGATTTACAAATTATTTTTGAAAACTGCAACTTAAAGAACAAGAGGACAGGTTCAAACTAAGGAAACAAGCTACTGAAAAAAACATCAAAAATTTCACTTTTGCAAACATAGCATACCTCTCATGTACCTATACTTAGGTAATTACACCTTGAAAATCCTCTGAATTTGACTTTGACATGAATCATCTTTGTTACAGCATTGTATTGGCAATAGCGTATCTGAATGATATCTAGTACTGTAATTCCTTAATATTATGAGATATACAGTTCTGTAGCCATATTGGCTTACAGCTTTTTGATAATTGCCTATTTCATACTCTTTATATTAATCTTGATGATATTCAAAATACATGAAAACTATACCAGCCTGTACTCCTTGTATCAACTGGCTGGCACTTCACCACTTGTCCTCATTTCTGCACTCTTCTTCTTCTGAGATATGCCAACCCTTTTGTGATGGACCATATCTAGTTTACATTTTACTTGTCGGGTTTAAAAAAATTACCAGGTTATAGTATGACAATTGTTATGTCAGTAGTGTATATCTAGTCTAGGAATGGAACTAAAAGGTCATACAGTATATGTATGGTAAGATTGTCAGGTTATCAAGATGCTACTAAGGTAATTAAAGATTGGTGTTTATTTATGTACACTATTTCAATAACATTTTCCTCCAGTATTTAGGTTAATATTATTTTCAATGTTTGCCAAATACAATTTGCAGATTATACTGGAAAAAATATTTCATATTTGGTACATATGGAAAAGTTGAAATTTTTTGTCAGTAAAGTTTAATAAAATAAATAATCTGCATTTAGATGCCTTTATTTCAACATGCCTATGAAGACACAACACTGGAATTAGGGGAACACATGTATATTGTTTTACTTCAATAATTAAATGTGGCATACGGCTGAAAGATATCGTACTTTATATTTTCTCCTTAATTCATTTAGAACAGTCACTGTTGGTAAATGGGAAAAAGTCACTTAGCTAGGTGAGCCTTTGCCAGTGCTTCATTCAAGTGTGAGCTTCAACAGCCCTAGTAGAGTATGCATTATGCAACGCTCAATGTATTGTTGTGGTGGGATGGGACAGAGAGGTGGGAGGATATGGGAAGGAGAGGTTGCATGGGGGATGGGATGGGAAGGAGAGGGGGCAGCGGTTGGGTGGAGGGAGAAGGGGTGGAACAGGGTTTGACGTTGAAGAGCAAGTCTTGCTGAAAGCACCCTACACAACAACATTGAACAATATCAGTGTACTTTCAGCATCACTGCATCACTTCTTGCAAAACTTCTTAGACACTTTAGTTTGATATTTTCTTCTATTTATGGGAAGCCCTGCCCAAGCTGCATATATCACTCCCCAAGACCTCTCGTGCTCCACTTAAAGATGTACAAGCTTTGTGTTGTGTGCTCCTCCATTAGCTTTGATAAATCTCACACTTGCATGACACAAAATACAGGTTCACTGTGAAGTGATTCTTATTAGTTCTTTCATATTGTTAATTCTCTAGCAAACACTGGATCCAAGGTATGCATTACCCTTTATCCATAAATTGCAAGGGTTAATTAACATTTACAAGTTCTCCAGTATCTTTGAACACTTAAAATTATAGATATTAAGACTATATACAAAATGTTTTTCACTCAATTTCATAGCTGGCCATTGCCAACAAAAACAGTTTTGCGACATCCAAATTACAAACTGTATGTTTTGTAACATTTCTAAACTTGAGCACTGGGCGCATAATTCACACAGCAAAACAAAACAAAATTATTACAAAAGTGAAAAATTTCTAAATATGACTACAGTCTAAAAATTCTTCTATATGATCCTATCACCACAGGAGAGAGAGATACATTGCCTTAAGCACAATTTTATCTTGAGGAGGATCTAGGCAGGAAAATGGTGTAAATTACATTTCATAAAATCACATTCACAATAGAAATATGAAATGATGCTAGCTTAAAGGATTGCAGTTAACCATTTTGACCCATTATCAACTAGATAATCTTGTTACAGTATATGATCCAAAGTTTTACTAATTATATTCACAGGTATGGTATGCTTTGTATTTGTTTAATTAACACTTTCATATAAAACAAAGAATTTTTGTATATATCAATATATGCTGCAGTAACAAGTGATATATAGATTTAATATTTCATATAACCTATGCGAGTTGATACTATGAAGAGTCAACATTAAAGGACAACTAAACATTGGACCGCCTTCTGCATTGCAGGGCAGCAAGTGCATTCACAACCGGGTAGAGTGACCAGAAAAATTACAACATTAACGTTAAGAAACGCTAACTTTATAATATCACCCTAAGATTCATAACAATGAATCGCCTTGTACGAGGTAAAAAATATTCTTGCACGTGTTACTATTGTACCATTTCCAGAATTATTAGCACTGAAGAATTTTATACAACAATGATCATAATATATACAAGAGCCAGTGATGTAACACTTCGTGCAAACAGATCATGTATATTAATTCAAGTCAGGATTAAATATTAGTTCTGCATAGAAACCAATTTTAGAAATAAAATAGGATTAGTATGGTATTCTTTAAATTTATCCATTCTTGAATACAGCGAGTACAGCTACCTACGAATATTAAATATTCACTAAAATAATAAATGAATTGTGTTAATACAGTATTTGTTGCAAACAACTTGATGACTGCAAGTGACTTTGTCAATTATACCCCTTGCAATAAATTGGAGAACAAGAATTGGCATTGTCTGAAATTGCACACAAGCTAAAAGAATACATTTAGTACTACACATAGGATGAAAAATGAAATGATATTTTATGTACAGTTACACTGGGATGATTGTGCTCAAGCATGTTGGCTCATTCAACATGAAATATAATTTTTCCAAATATCTTTCAACATTAAACATACACATTGAACACTTGGATTGACATGACTTCCTAGGTACAACACACAAACTATGACATTATATTGCATGAAGTCCATTTGAGAAATTATATATATATATATATATATATATATATATATATATATATATATATATATATATATATATATATATATATATATATATATATATATATATATATATTAAAATAATAGAAACAGTTGACAGCACCCGTCTCGTACAAATATGCCATTAATGTACTGAGTTACAAATTTTAATGGTGTTATGGTGATATCAACTTATTGTGTAGAATCACTCGAATGTATGCCACACACACACACACACACACACACACACACACACACACACACACACACACACACACACATTATTATGCTAAATGCCATAAACTGGCTTTCAATAGTTTCATGTGCAAGCAAGTTTTCTTGGGATATCAGTTTCAACTTTACTTTCATTGGTTACCAGCATTGTTCTAGAGTATAGCATTACTACAGGTTCCTACATCAACAGTATGTATGTAGACTGCATTATACATGCCAAAAGACCTAATAAGACATAAATATATGTCTATAAAATGTAATAAAAAGATTACAAGTTTTGTCACATGTTTGTACTGTATACCATTCATAAAGTATTCTGTCCAAGTGAAGTTTGATAACAAATTAATCAAAGCCGTTCCATTTATTGTAAATTCTTCACTGAAAGCACAAGTGTTAGGAATAAAGTTGAACACTAAACAATAAAGAAGTTATTAGCATATTATAATACTCATGGAACAATGAGTTTTGAATATCAGTACATAAAATGGGTTGTTTATATAAACTTTTAACAAATTAAAGTGTATAAATACTTTGGATGTGCAAAATGTAATAATTACTAATTGGGAAATGGATCCCTCATCAGTTTCCTTGAGTTTTAAAGCTGGCCGGACTTTCTTGGCAGCAACAATTTAGTATCCATTGCAGCTCGCATTATCTTGGGTAGTCTCTCCCGACTGGTTCAGTCTTATAGCAACAAATTTCACTCGTGCAACCACAACCATGTTTATTTTGCTTTGCTTTTTTCTATGCTTAGCAGATATATATATCACTTGCCAATTAGCCACAGTTCATGACAATGCCAACTACTTCCTTGTTTTTACTAGTGTCTTCACAGGTCAGTTGTCTCTCACTATAATTAAAACAATTATAATGTACACACATTTAGTCTTTATACTAAGAACAGCAACATCAAGACCTTATAAGAAATTCTCAGTGGTTCAGTAAGGCTCATTTCATAGTACACTATATGATTAAAAATCTGTTTAACAGAAACACTAAGTCATGACTGCTTTTATATTGCATGTGTTATCATATCTTAACTTGAAGGGGAAGTGTTGTTGGGGTTTTCCATAAGCATTTTCATCAAGTAGTTGTCCAGAGGTGTATCTCCAATTAGCTGTGGAAGAAAAGAAAAGTATATAATATGCAATACCTTTATCCTTGTTATCTTTCCTGCTATGTGTATACTGTGTATGCTGGTAATGACTGAAAACCTTGGCAACAAATTGAACAAATTTATTGCTAATATGCAGAACTTTTAGGATGAAGTGTAACATCTTGTTGGCCATACAGTATTTCCAAAGGTCAGAATTAATTTTAATTTAACCAAACATGATGCCTGGTGTTTGTGCAGTAATGGAGAGCATAGTTTTGCAATATGAGAATTAGGTGCATATTGGTGCATGTGTGAGATTGTTTGTACTGCTTCTGGCAGCATGGGCTGCCCTCTTCATATGACCTGCCATATCACAGTACTGGAACACTGTGATAACCATCTTTAGCTTACTTCCACTTGCTTTATAGTTAGACTTGCCAACCCTGGCCTGCAACTGGGCTTGTCTTGTGATAACTTAATTTGAAAGTGTTTTACAGTTTTTGTTTTATTTGTGTACTGTTTAGAAAACATTTTCCCATGTAAATTGAGGGCTTACTGTACTGGATATTCAAAACTAGATCAAGATGAGATTTAAGTTAAAAAAAAAAAATCTGGGTTAACTAGATTCGTCTGTTATGTTCCCTGGCAAGATGATTGCCTCACGTGGAGACTGGTACATGATATGAACATAATGACATGCTAATGTAATGAGAGATGAAGATACACATGATATACTGCTATAGTAGTTACAACAGAGCCAATAAACACAAGATTTAATAGTTACTTTTATAACGTGCCTTTTTTTGTGATCTTGATAATATCAAGGTGTACACGAACACACGTTCTATCATAACAACACAGGGTCCTGTAGTATAGTGGCGTACATTCTTGACTCACAATTGGGGATCCCAAGTTCAATTACCAGGCAGGACAGAAATGATTGGGAAGGTTTCCTTTCACCTGATGCCCCATATTCCTCTAGCATTAGATTCCTGAGAGTTAGGCAACTATTGTATTCACCTAGTTGTGCTTGCAGGGGTTGAGCTCTGGTCTTTTGGCCCGCCTCTCAACTCTCAATCAATCAACTATTACTAACTACTAACTAATTTTGTTTTTGGAGGGGGGGGGGTCTGGTGCTTGCTTGCCCAAAGTGCAAAAGTGTTAAGGAAGGTTTCTAATTCCTGGGATTGACTCGTTCTTCTCTTCTCTGGATGCTTTCAACTGAATTTGTCCATTGTATAGTACTGTGGCCAAAACTGAACTGCATAATGTAAATGGAACCTAAGGAGGGAAAGAACAAGACTAGGAATAATGTTAGACATCTTGTTTCCAATGCTTATAGAGATAAATCCCAGTATCCTATTAGCTTTATTCTGTATATTTATGCATTGATTGTTTGCCTTTAGATCCCTACTAATTAGACTAATCTTTCTTGCATTCAGGTTTTGCAATGTCAGCATTTTCTTTTAGTTTTCTTAGTTATTTTTAAAATAACTAGTTTGACAGTTATTCTAGATTAACTTCCACAGTCTGCTTTTGTACAGAGCTTTTTTCTTTTTGTAAGGTCTTCATATTATGGGTATCCATTTTGGGTCATTGTTATTAGACCTAGTAAATTTATAAGGCATACTACATTCTTTGACTTTCTTAAGGAAGTTTTAAAAGAGAAATAAATTGAATGACATAACAATGCACATGTTGCCCACTACTGTGCCACGTCCCCAGGGAAGCCCACTGCCAATGTTGAGGTGCACTTACTCTGCCCTTCCCAGGAAGGATGGCAGGTGATGGCATCATTTCAATTGCTCTATAAACTGATGCCACATGCTACTTGCTAAGTATATAATGTATTAGAACTTTGCTGTTGACTTGAGTTATTCCACACATGGTGTAAACTAAATTTATTTACACATACCAGTACCGGTACTTGGCAAAAAGTGAATACTGTATATAGGCCTACAATGTAATATGTACATGTGAAGTATATGGCACATAGTGCATTCCTGGCACTGCTCATAAGAAGCATCCATCTCCTTTCCTGCTGTTCTATCTGGTAATGCCATCCAGAAATATTCAAACACCAGCAGGAGGTGCAAAAGTGCGATTTGATAATTGCTTGGTCTGTGGTAGTATAAGATAACTTCATCAATAATAAGCAATTAAAATATATAGCACAATTTTTTCACGGATCTAGGTTACATGTGTGTACAATGTATTATATCCATATATCATTTATATTAAAACTGGGTTATGGTAACTAAGATGAATACACGATAACAGCATTATTCCAAGAATTAACGTATGGAAGAGAATAAATTCAAAAACAAAAATGTAGAGGTAAAGGGAGAAAGCAAGTGGGCTAAAAGATAACCGTGTGTGTTGAAGTAACATAAGGTTCTGGCACTTAAAGCCAGATTTCTACCATACAAAAATATTAAAAAGAAAGAAAAACGTTTGAGCAAACTCTTAAACTACTATAATTTGCATAACTAAAAAATGTGATGTAGGTCAAAACTTTGTACCTTAAACAAAAAGAGATACTCTAGGCATTTTAAGCCAATTGATCTGAGCGCTGGTAGTCGTAGCAATAGCTTGGCAAACCTGCCAGGTTCTTCAGGGTAGCTAGTACGTGTGTACTCTTCTAGTGCTGCGTAAACCTTCTCGCGTAGAATCTCCACGTCATTACAGCATGTGAGTCCCTTAGCATCTGGGTGAGGTGAACACATCCATTAATATTCTTGTGTAGAGATATGTACTTTGTAAAATCAAGAAAAGTACAATGTTTAAATTGGTAAATAATAAAAAGCACAGAGTACATATAGTTATGCCAGTAATTAGTAACTGTAAATGATTACTGTACTTTTATTTACATGCAACACGGGGAAATACATTCAAAGCCTAGGAAAAATACAGTATATGCTTAACCCTTACACTGCTACAGCCTGGGATGTAAATGAGGGTACAAGCTTGGGCTGGGTGAAAATATATTTGAATTATGTGAAAATTAATATTAAATGTTAAACAAATCTCCAACATATTGGCTTCAGCGTCGTAAAAGTTTCATCCCAATATTTTCAGAAATGGATTTTAGACAATTTTTTTTAAAAGAACAACATTTTGTAGATAAGGAGAACAGCTCCTATTAAGTGAAACTGAGTGATAATGCAGTAATAAGGAGATGCAAGCACCTGTCCCATGCACAAAGAAGAATAGTAGTTTGAAGTGTCCACAAAGTGGATATGCAGCCGGTGCTTTTATAGCAGTGCTGAGTAATACATAATAACACATAATAATGAGCAAGTATGTTATGCTCTATTTTGTTATATATCATACAAATACATTGTTCAATAGTAATACCTCTTACTTTCACTAATGTCCATAATTTTTGTTTATGGTATTTTTTTTCTTTGCTTATTATCTGATTTTGTTGTAACCTCTACACCCGGGAGAATGCACTTTTCCATAACTATGTGATGAAAGAATTAAATTGGTCAAGAAATAAATAAGTCATAACTGGCAGAACTTGGGACTTTTTTATTTTTTATTTTTTTTGGCTGATTTTTTCACAGATTTCAAACTCTATTTTCCTTGTTTCTTTATATTTTGATAATTAGGGCTTTTTGACTTATATAAAGTATACCCTAAATCATTATAATTATTATAATATGGGACCTCGCGGCTGAGTGGACAGTGCTCGGGATTCGTAGTCCTAGGGTCCGAGGATCGATCCCCAGATCAATCGGAATCAAATGGGGCAGAGTTTCTGGCACCTGACAGCTGAGTGAACAGCGCCTCGGATTTGTAGTCCTGAGGTTCCGGGTTCGATCCCCAGTGGAGGCGGAGACAAAGTGTCGGCCACTCCTCGTTGCGTTTTGATTCTCGATACCAAATTAGTTTTGTTATGGTGAGCAAAATGTGCAGATTCTTACATATATATAACCTGTGTGTATAGTATAATAATGGCAAAACTATTTATTTATTGTTTTACGAACATAATTGAATCACTAATATGTACACCATAATTTTGAATATAGCGATGATTCACACATTTGATTATATAAATATCACACTACACACTATTGAATAATATTACTGCAAAGGCACTAAGAAAAAATCACATTTAAATAATTAGGTAATAATATCTTTGTGGCAACTCCCAACTGACAGCTCGGGTGGAACAGACCACCTCCAGCGCTTGCTTTGTCAACGCCCTTTTTTTTTTTTTCCCCCTCGACTTTCCCACCCTATTGCGGTCAAAATATGCCACCTATGATGCTTTTATTATTTTTCCCATGATCAGGGAATATAAATAAACACTTATAAAATGAAATAATTTTTTTTTTCTTGCACCTGGGCATGTTGCAGGCTAAAATCACAAGAGCTGCCCAGGGGTTAATACTATCTGTGCCTAGGCTTCAATGACCCAAAACTCACACCCATAATTACTCAATGGAAATTGGCGATCAGATTCATAAGGAACTGCATCCTAAGACCACATACAATACCCTTATTCAAATCTTAAATATATAAACACTACACATTATCATGGGCTGTCTACATCTCCAAAACATTCTAATCCCAACATATTACCAAAACTACCAGTACTTAACTACTACTACTTTGGTAAAGTAAAGTATGCCATTTAGTAACAAGTGTAGACTTATGATGATATTTATCTGGTAGCAAATTTTTTTGTTTGTATTCCAATATTGACATTCTCAGCCTCAGTATGTGACCATATATAAAAAATGGCCTAACAATTTTTTTATATATACAAGACAATCTATAAGAGAAAAGTAACGACTGTATAGTACTGCGCAAAATGCCATAAGGCGCTCTGAGAGTTGTGCTAGTTTTTAATTAGGCTATATTTTAATATTTTTGTTAATGTTTTCATCACTGTTTTGAAATGAAAATGGTTGAGTTTGGAAACATTTTTATATTAACATTACCTGAACATTTATAAAAACAACAAAAATATGTCCTTGACAATTGCACTATGAGGTTTTTGCCAAAACCAGGCAAAACCAGGTGTGGTGGTTAAGTACATACCTGGGTTATAGAGAACTATGGAGCGCAGACAGCCTAATTCTGTCTTGTCCATCTTCATCTCTTTCATTTTAGCAACCAACTCTGATAACACTCGGTCAAAAATTGCCCCCACACCTTCCTGATGAGCACTACTTCTGTGTACCTGAAATAAAAGTAATGCCATTTCAAATGGTAGTGTGTATCAATTAAGATATAAAACAGTATGACAATTTCAAATTTGGTTTTTGAGATAAGCATAATAATTTAACAAATATTCCAAACTGGGAATCAGCGAAGCATTCCAGGTGTTTCATATTCACGTCACATCCTACAAAGCCAATGCCAAGTCAAGTATTGATTTTTTATGTTGATAAAGTATATAAATCCTACAGATAAGAAATTATGTATGTCAATAACTTAGAATTAGAGCAATTATTATACAGTAAAAAGCAATATTTAAAGGTAAAAATTTCAATTATGGATTTTCAAAATGCATTATTGTAGTTACTGCATTTGATTTAAAACAAATTTGCAGTTATCAGAAATTGTGATCACTGTCCTTCACATGACATAAAACTATATCAATGTTATTACCAGCTCTTGTATTCCATCTATGTTCAAACATGTCTACACTACATAAACATTATCTATGCATTACACAGACCATGTTTTATAGGTCAATTTGTTACAGGGAGTCACATCTTACGAACAGAGATTCCCTCGTCCCTGTTTTTGTCTCAGTCCATTATATAAATGTCCACATGACCTCTAGTGTCATGCTGCAACCCACACTGCTACAGTCACCACAGCCTCACATAACAAATATTTACACTATTTGTTCAAATTTATACTTTAAAATTATTCTTTATATACTGTAGTGTAATAAATATTTACTATAGCTCCTAAAAAACACGACCTCTCTTCATTACGTGGTATCAGTAGTAAATGTTGTCAGGGAATCTTTATGGGAGTACAGTATTGTTGGTGGAAAGCTGACAATGTTTGTGGATCCTCAGTTACTCCACAAGTCACACGACTGGAACAAGACCAGATTGTTCACTGTGCTTGTGGGACTGGAGGCTTGGTGATGGGAGGAGGGTGGAAGGTGCTTGTTTGTGCAACAAATTACATTTATATACTTTTATTGTAAAAGTACTGTAATTAGTGTACTGTAATTAGATCTCTTCAGTCATCAAAAACTGCCAACTTTTAAAGCAGAGTAATGCTTTTCTTTCAGATAAAGAACAAAGTTTCTTGTACTATTTTTTCCCAAAATATTTGTTTTATACTATATTGTACAGTATTTTGTGAACTAATTTTGTTCTTTGCACCTTGCTCAGAGAATACAGCTAGATAATTACCACGAGTCCTGTAGCTAGTACAATCCCGTCTTCAACTCCCATACTTCGATGTGAAAAGGACGCAATAAGTAGTTCATTCCAACCTGCAAAAAAAATTTAGTTAATCATAACACAAAAGATTATAAAAGGCAAAATATAATTTTAATTTTTTTTAAATTTGAAGTTGCAGTGCACAAAGTTCTGCATACAGTCATTGCAGTGAGACAGACATTACTGTGCTGTGTACCATGTTCACTTTCTCAGGTGGCATTTCTTAACCAGTTTTAATTAAAAGTAACTATTCTTATTAATTCTTCACCATCTTGGTATGGTGAAGAACAGCCTTCACAGCCTTCTTCACCACTATAATTCACCACCACCACTTCACCACTATATACAAAGCCCAAAACACTTTGCGTAATAGTGGCTTTAGGCATTGTATGTACTAGCTCTTATCTATAAATCTATCAATTTTTGTATAACCTCTTGTATGTATGTACTTTACATGAATAAACATTTATTTATTATTTATTTTATTACTATGCTTTAGTTATCAACTGCAGGGTTACCCCAGCTTGAGGTGTGCCAGGGATACACCACCCAGCTTTGTCAGCTAACATGCCACATACTCATTAACAAACAAATGATGAAAAGGAAATACACACACATTTAAGTATGCTATTTTTAATGAAAATAGTGAGATTTTACCAGAACTGAGTAATTAAAAAGTAAGAGGCAGTGTCGTGTTGCTGGTTACAGCTTTTAAGAGGGTTTTCTATGATTACCTCAATCCAGCAGTAGAGTCCTTCATGAAGATATGGCAATGTGCTAAACTTGTACTTGCACGGACACTCAAGTAAGTTTTGCCAGGCTGTAACACCTTACTATGAGGAGTGCTAAGGTCGACAAATGTTAAGAAACTACTTGAAAGATGTCATCTGTTCTTAGCTACCACACTTTGCTTGTTACTCACCAGCCTTAAGTAAGACAACTTGGTCATCAACAGGAAGGTCTGTGAAGTGTGGGATGTGCTTGGCCCATTCTACCAGTTGGACTAAGTGTCTGTCTGCAGCCTGGCAAATGTTGGTTAAAGCATCCTAAAGAGAGAAAACACATTGGCATTAAATATGTGAAAGTAATAAGGGCAATAGTAATTTGTTTTGTGTATTTCCACCACATTGGAAGTGATGCCATTGTCCAAGTTGTCCCATGCACTCTTATCTATCCAACATAAGCTCTCAATAGCATAAACAACAAATTCATTTTGAAGAGTAACATGACTCAAGTTGAATGTAAAATATTTTAGACAATTATTCCTCCATGAGACGTATACATTACATTCCCAAGAATTTATTGTACCTGGAGTGGTAAATCAATACTAATTTTATGTAAAAGGTGAATTATAGTACAAGTTAGTCCATTTATAAGGCCAGGATTCATCAAACATTTACACATCCAGTACAAAACATGCACACCTTTCAACAATCATAGCAGCTTTGTTTACATGTATTAAATACATATTAGCTCTGAAGCACTATGAAGATGTTTATACAACAATAATCATGGATTGTGATGTTTCAAAGTTTGTAAACTGTTTGTAAATTGTAAACTAAATGAACACAGTAACAATGATTGAGGAAAAATATACACGTTTTATAAGTGGACGTGTAAATGTTTGACGTATCCTGGCCTTGGCAGACATCATTAATGCCTGGTAATAATAATGGGGAAAATTATTAAATCACTGATGCAGCTATCATTCCACAAGTGACAGGTAATCTGAAGGTTGAGCAGAGTACAAGGCATGACAATGTAAATAAACACAAAGTTAAGAGACTTGTTTAAAACTGTCCAGCTAATATAATGTTACAACCTGCATAATTGGCTGCAAAATTCTGCTGGATTGTACTGTACCTGAACCATCCTTGATATCAAAGGCTCTCCTAAATTCAAGCATGTATTGTTTGTGGGTTTGATTGCTGATATGGGTTCCTTAGTTTCATAAATAATGCATGCAAGGGCAAAGAAAATTTGCCTTTTACACATTATATTTTTAATTAATATTTTAAACAGAGCATGCTGGGATTAGGGTGGACCAAAGTCATGAGCTTTTTGCCAACACAAACCAGCATTAAGGTGCTCAGTACTGTACCGGTACTGGACCAACACAAACCAGCATTAAGGCGCTCAGTACTGTACCGGTACTGGACCTATTTTGTAAACTTGTCCTTATAACTTACTCCAATATTTAGCTTTTCTTATAGAAAATTTAACATATTGAAGGTTAATATGCAAACCTTACACACAAAATTTAAATGAAAAGTTTTCTATAAATTTTTGTTTATAATTTTTAAATTTGTATAACATTTATGCAAACACTTGATTTGGAATGCGACCACCAGACGTCTCTGTGGAAAGTGGTCTTGTTTATTAAATTTAATGTGATGATTATAACAATAGGCGGTTCCTGAATAGACTTGCATAATAGTTGATATAACAACTTTGAGTTTGGGGAGATGGCTGCCATTAGTCCCTAGTGCGGTTCAAGATGCGAAGCTCCTGCTACTAAGATTGCACTTTAATTAATTTTGATAAATGGGTAAAAAGTTAACCAAAATTTTAGAAACTTCTTGGGACTATCCTGTGGAGAGCTCCCTGAAGCTATCCCACCTTGAGGTTACCTTGAGGTGCTTCCGGGGCTTAGCGTCCCCGCGGTCCGGTCGTCGACCAGGCCTCCTGGTTGCTGGATTGATCAACCAGGCTGTTGATCAGTCCGGCAACCAGGAGGCCTGGTCGACAATATAGTGCTGTTCTATTTTGGGTCATCAGTCAGAGTTCTTGTTGCCTACCAGGGACCATGATCCAGAACCTGGCCCCCACAGAGAGGTGCAGGGAGCAATGGCCTATGAACACTTTACATTTGAAGTACAGTACAGTATATCATACTTGCCATCAACCAGGGAAGGGACCCAGAAAGGTAGGCAAAACAAAACAGACAACTGTCTGGTTGAAAAATGTGACCTACGTCCTCCAAAGAGCAAAAGAATTTTCCCCATAAAGAAAACAAACAAGCAACACTTCGCTCAACTAGCCCCCCCGCTCCTATGCACCACAGGGGGAGGGGAAGCCAGCAACCCACCCTCCAGGTCTTGATCGGTGGTGCTGCTGGCAGTCAGACATCACCCCAGGCCTCAATTTCCTGTCCTGTGATTTTTGCCTTACACAGCTGTTCCTGCACTTGTGGTGTGCTGGCCTGGAGTTCCTGGTACCAGAGCTGCATACATTTAGGGACACCTTCCCTAGGTGCTCCGTGAGTGCTGTCCTTGCGTGGTCAGGGTTATATTCCCTGGGGCATTAGGGAAATACTTCCCTTTAGAAGACTTCCTCACTTGTGGTAGTTCTCACCCTTGGTGCCAGTCTGGGGTCTTGGGCTTTCTGCCTTGACCCACGTAGAGGGGCGTTTATCGGCTGGTGGGGTGCACTGTACTGTACGGGCGCAGCCTGCTTCAGCTATCATACAGTAGCCAATGTTTCTCTCTGACTGCTTGTTGGCTGTTGTGGGGTTTCAGGGGCTTTTCCCCACAACAGCCATTTTTTTTCCTGGTTCACAGAGGAGTCCTGCCTAGCTCCTCATTAGGCTATGCCTAGGGTGTGGTGGTGGTCCTTCTCCTGTTGCCCCCAAAGCTTTACTATGGCTGCTTGCGGTTGGTTTGCATGCATCGACAGGGTTTACTGGCTTAGCTGGCCCCAGTGCCAGGCTTCCTGTAGGGTTCATTCACACTACAGGTCCTGGGAAACCCATGGGCTCAGTCATACCATGAATACGTCTTCCGAGCCCACTCTCACCTTGTGCGAATTTGAAAGTTGTCTGTCGCCCCTGCCTCAGGGTGGTGATCATTCATACTGCCTCCGCCATGCTGCTTGTTGGGTCGGGGACAACTACAGCCCGAAGTCTTGTGGGACTTGTTCCCCGCTTGTGCTCCAATTTCCTCATCCATTGTTTGATGATCTATGAAATCAGGCAGCTGCTACATTGCACGAACGGTTCTCTCTCTCTTGCAACGGGCCAGGTTGGTTGCTCGTTTGGATGCCCCACTTGGTAGCGTTGGTCACTTCAGCCTTCGTTTAGTCCGTGCCTCCTCCTAACTTCCCAGATGGGTGTGGATTGCCCTGTCACCTGCTTCCGGGTTTCGGAGTCAGGTCAGGTTTTAGCTTGGGGCGAGGCTCGGGTGGCTTAGGGGGATGCCCCTTCTGATACAGACGCGGAGATGGTTGAGCCCCCTCTTCCCTGCCAAGGCTTCTGAGTTGACCTAGCAGACTTTGAAGCCTTTCCCCTGGACTCTGCCTTTCCTTCTGGGGTGGTGGGTGTGGATGGAGGACTCTGCCCTGGGACCTTCGTCGGTGGTTTCCGGGACTCGGGGGCGAGTCAGAGTGGTGCTCTTGGGTTCCACTTGACTCCGCTTGGGTGCTTGTGCCCTCTGCACAGGGGCTGCTTCTGCAGGGGAGGGGGGTTTTTGTACCCTCCTTCCCTTTGAGTTTGAGTTGGGTGGGATCCCCCCCCCCCCCAAAGTTTGTTTCCTGGTGCCTTTAGGTTCCGTGGATTCATCTTTCCAGAGGTTTTCTTCATCTTGGATTTTTTCTGCAGAGGTTTTGGAGGCCCTCGGTGCTTACCTCCTGTGGGACCCGGTTTATGCCTTGGTGGTAGATCCGGCTTTCTTTGCGTTCGGCTCTTCTTTCCAGTACAGTATTGGGCACGTTACAAAGTTCTGGAGTCTTTCTGGCTGGCAGACTACTTCTCTTATGGGTTTGGCGTAGCTTTTGTCATACCCCGTGCGCTTGAGTGGCGGGGGGTTTACGTGGTGTTGCAGGTGTTCTTGAAGGGGCTCTCTGGAGTTTCTCAATGAGCCTCTTTGCTCCTGTGCTTCCTTGTGATGTCGGTCTGGTGCAGCTGCATGCTCAGGTCCCCTCTCCTTTGGCTGCTTTGGTGGCGGATGACTTTTGGACTTGTAGTCATTTGGCCTTGTCTTGCGTTTTAGTCTTCTGGAGCTGTCTTCAGAATGGCTTTCAGCAGATGCAGGAGCGCAAGGTGGGGGCCCTCGGCTGCTTCTGCATTACTGAAGCTGTTTGCATCAATCCTTCGGGAAGCGGTTTCCATGTTTTTCACCTCCCGTCTCGCATGTCGGCAGGCTGTGCTAAGCCCTCTCGTTCGACTCGGCTCGGGCCCTGGCTCTTCAGTCTTTGCCATTTTATTCTTTTTTGTTCCCAGAGGACTGTGTTGTCTCGTTTTTTGTCGGTTGCTTTAGCTTTCTGATTTGTTGATTCACGGGGGTGGGGGGAGGGGGTTGTTCTGGGCACTCTCGGAAGGGTTGGGCCACACCTCAGGCTTCATGAGGTTGGGATAGGCCTGTGGTGCTAGTTTGAGTCAGTGGTGTCCCTGGTATTGTCTTTCTCATCGGCACAGTGTTCGCTCTGCACAGAATTCATGCTCTCGGGGTTCATGTCGGCTCTTTCACGGGTCGCTCCGTTGACGGTGTAATGGGGGAAGGATGTCTCTCTTTGCTCATGCTTGATCCTACAATTTGTGGGCTTTCCTGGTCATTTTTTGTGGCCTTTATTGGCGTTGGGTAGACCTTCCTCCCTTTGGGAAGGTTAGATCTGTGGGAACAGGGCTCTTTCCCGTCCATCAGTCGGGTCATCTCACAGTGGGCTCGCTTGGGATTGGTAGACACGACTTCGTCGCTCAGGTGGGTTTCCCGCCTGTTTCCAGTTCCAAACTGGGACTGTGCGGATCTCCGGTACATTCTGGACTTGTCTGCACTGGTTGCTTCCTTCCCCTTCTTTTCGAGTGCCTCCGTTGTCCCAGGTTCAGCTCGTTCTAGATCCGGGTGTTTGGATGGTTTCCTTGGACCTCAGGAACGCATATTGGCATGTCCCTATCCTTCCAGGGTTCCAGGATTGGTTAGGTTAGGTCTCCCTTATGGGCTGAATCTGGCACCTCACGTTTTACGAGCTTGACTCAAGTCATGGTGTTCCGTCTATGCCTGTTGGGTTTTCGAGTCTTGGCCTACCTCAACAACTGGTGTGGGCTTCCAGTCGATCTGCTTGTCTGCTAGCCAGGGATCTGGCTCTTTACGAACTCACCGTGTTCGGGTTCAGGTTCCTGGTGTACTAGCAGAAGTCCCAGTTGGTTCCATCCTGGGTTCGGCCTTGGCTGGGCCTTGTGTGGGATTCTCGGACTGCATTCCTTTCTCTCCCACGGCCTTACTCTAGCTGGAGTCCCACCTTCGCCTGTTTTTGAGGGGAGTCCTGAGTCACTTGACGGTTGCTCGAGCAGCTGTGCAGGAGCCTGTATACCTAGAGAGGGTTTCAAGAGTTCTACTCACCAAGCTTGGCATAAGGCCAGGCTCGACTCGTGATAACTTGGTCCAACAGGCTGTTGCTTGGAACGCCCACAGGCCCACATATCGACAACAGCCTGTCTGGTCAGGCACTTCTTGCAAAAACCTGTCCGAGTGCCTCTTGAATGCATACACCTTCGTACCGGCATTATTTCTAATGCTTGCTGGGAGAGAGTTAAACAGCAGTGGACCCCTGATGTTAAGATAGTACTCACTGATTGTGCCTTATGCACCTCTACAACTCATTGGTTCTATTCTGCATTTCCATCCGTATATTTTGCTCCAGCATGTTGTTGGAGCAAAATCTACTGTGCAAATTTGGGACCTGGCCCTCCAGTATCTTCCATGTATATAGTATTTGACACCTTTCTTGTCTCTTTTCCAGAGAGACCATTTTGAGACCTTTGAGACTGTCCCAATAATTCAGATGTTTAATCGTTTATATGGTCTCTGTATTCCCTCTAATTCAGAGATCTCTGCTGCTCTGAAAGTTAAAGTGAGTACCGAGCAATACTCAAGATAGGACAACACCAGTGATTTAAATAGTGTTAGCATTGCTGTGGGGTCCCTGGATTTGAACGTTCCCATAACCCATCCTATCATTTCCCTGGCCGCCACTATATTTGCTCGGTTATGTTCACTAAATGTCGGGTCGTCAGATATCATAATTCCCAAATTTGTACTTTGCTCTTCTGATTTATCCACTACAGAGGCTGTTCTGATATCTTTGGGGCAGCATCTTTTGCCGCTCTCACGATTGTTGGGTTCGTCCCCTCCCCCCAGTGTCTTTGTGCCAGTTGCTGCATCACCGACTTCCTATTCAGGTTTTCAGGGTTTGGTGCTGTGGCGCCTTCCTCTTCCCTTGCTGAATGTGTTCACAGCCGCCTTGTCTGTCGGTTGGGGATTTGTGACCAGTGCTCACCAGTCTTGCCAGGAATGTTGGCAGCTGTCCTTTCGCCGGGCTCACAGCATAGTGCGGGAGTTTGCGGCTGTGTGGCAGGTGTTGAGGCAGATTTGGTTTCTCGGGGCTCCGACACCATTCGGACTGCTTCCCCATAGTTCAGCGTCTCGACTGGCAGGGTTTCTTTGGAGCTCGTCGCTACATGTAGCTCGTCTGCTGAGTTCACAGGGTTTAGCTCTCCGTGCCGTTCACATTTGAGAAGTGTCAAACGTCCTGGCAGGTGGCCTGTCTCGCTTCATTCCTCTTTCCATGGAGTGGACGGTCGAGGCCGCTTCTTTCCTTTGGCTTTGCCAGATGTATGGGCACCCGGAGGTGGACTTCTTCACGTCAGCGTGGTCTCGGCGTCTCCCGTTGAACATGACGTCATTCCCCAACGGCAGGACTGGACACTGTGGGGATTCCTGTAACTTTTTTCCCCAAGTCCTGCTGTTGCTCCAAGTTCTTGCTCGGCTGGAATCCTATCGGGTGAGAGTTCTTCTCCTGGCCCCATGGTGTCCAGCCCAGCCTTGGTTTCAGGCACTGCTTGCTTGGTGTCCAAACCCAGGCATTTTTCCGTGGCTCCGCCGGGCTGGTGGGGCTGGTGAGGTTCCTTGCCGGTTCGCTCTTCTCCTCCTCTGTAATACGCGTCTGGTATTTCTGATGCGGGTGTATCGCCATTTGTATAGTGATCAGGTGGCTTCTTTGATGGTGTCCCACCTGCAGTCTTCTTCTCAGTGACAGTACGAAGTTTCTTGGCGGGCTTTCCGCCATTTTCTTTCCCTTCATCGGGTTTAGTCAATGTCAGACGGAGTTGTTTGTCATTTCTCTCTTGACTTTTCTTGGAGTGGCATATCATGCTGAATACTGTCGCTTCTTATCATGTGATGTTGGTGGAGCCCCTGCAACTAGAGTTTGGAGTGGATGTCACTGGCCCTCCATTCTGCAATCTTTCTTATACATTTTTTCACCTCCAGCCTGTTCATGCACCTGACCTTCTTGATCCTTGGACCGAGTTCTTTCCTTAATTTCTTCTCAATTTGTAGTGGCCCCTTTGGTTCATGATTGGTCCTGGGAGTCATTTTGTTCGTTTGCAACCTTCTTCTTTTCTGGTGAAGAATGAGATGGCGGGCTTCGAGAGGGGTCCATTGGTTGTAGATGCTTGGTTGGTTAGGCCAGGAGTGCATCGCATGTTGTCTGGTGGCTGCTGTACGCAACTACTGTACCTGCGGGCCACCAGTTCTGTGTCGGTGGACACGCTTTGGGTTGATGTAGTTTCCCTGGTTCTCCTGTTCCAAGGCTTGTGTGTCTCAGGTTGTCCACAGTGTCATTAAGTCTAGCCAATCTGTGGTCTACCTTCGTGCCCATGATGTTAGGAAGCATGCCACTCTTATGGCTGTCTTTGGCAATATGTCTTTGGATGATATTTGGGTGCAGGGGTTTTAAAGGTTGAACAGGGTCCTGGCCGCCAGATATATCATGAATGTCCAGGCCCTCTACAGCCTTGTGTTGCTTTGGGGCACCTGTCACGGCCGTCTGTGTCTTACTTGCATTGAGACCTGTGGTGCTGTTGCCTCCCTGGTAAGTCCTTGTTTTTCCTTCTGTGTGTGTAAGCGGGAGAGGGAGCCGACGGGGCTCCCCACAGAAAACCAGCATTGAATGTAATGAAACGCCAGTTTCTGTGTGAGCTACGGAGGCTCCCTGAGCCCCCATCCCTCCCTCCCTCCAGTTGGCAGCTTTCATCAATCAAGAACTGGAGGATGGGTAGCCGGGCTCACCCGAGCTTGTTCCCCCCTCCGCCCGCAGAAAGGGGGGGGGGTGGAGCTTATGAGCTGGGGGCCAGTTGAAAAAAGTGTTGCTTGTTTGTTTTCTTAATGGGTGAGTTCTTTTGCTCTTTGGAGAATGTAGGTCACATTTTTCAACCAGTGGTCTGTTTTGTTTTGCCTACGTTTCTGGGCACCTTCCATTGTCGATGGCAAGTATGCTATACTTTACATGTAAAGTGCTCGTAACCCATTGCTCCCTGCTCCTCTCTGAGGGGGCCAGGTTCTGGTTCGTGGTCCCTGGTAGGCAACAAGAACTCTGATGACCCCAAATAGGATAGTACTATATCAGTGGGGGTAGCTTTAAGGCTTGTTTACCTCTAAGGCTTGTTTCATTATATTCAACACAGGGTCTCCCCCCCCCCCCTTAAACTGCATTCATAGATCTTGTTAAGTGGACATCTTCCAATTTTGTTTTATAAGCATATACAGTACACAGAAGTCTCGATATGAGTGTACTAGCATTTACTGTATACTATTTTTGATTTTTAGTGGTGTGCTTGGTGCATATCTCATGGACCAAACTGAAAATGGAAAATATTGAAAAGAATAAAGAAGCGTGTATATAACAGCCCTGGAGGAGAATTTGTCAACCTTAAGGTATTGCTGAATGCTGTCATTCTTGTTAGAGTGGGTAAAGGCTGTGGAACAGCATTGGGCATTGAAGTCATTTTTATGTTACTGTACTACTAAGTCAGTGTGAACGTCACCAAACTTATTTAAATTTAATTACAGTACAGGTACTAGTTTTACTATAGCTGAAAATGCAAGTGTTGGAGTCTTATCATAAATTGGATTTCTTGATTGTGTGATGATAAATTTTACAAATGATGTATTTTTTTTTCTAAGAGGGATCTCTTAGTAGCTCCCTAAGCTACATTCAGGTTGTGGCTTGCAGTAAGGACGAGTGTCGGAGGTTTGGTGTGATTAGCTAAGGCTTGATGGTACCAGAGTTACACTACGAGCTACTGGCAGCTCATCAGAAAAAGGGCATTGGGCACATTTTATTAATTTATTGAGATATTCCGTGCATTACTCTATAAATTGGAGATGTAGCATCACTAATGCTGTGAGGTGCTGCTTTATTTAAATGCCAAACCCCTGGTGTCAAAATAATTTATGAATTTTGACATTATAATTTTTTGATAGTAGCAAATGGTTTGTGCGAGCTGCATTTTAACATAACCAATTTAATCAATTTGGGTCAGTCTTGTTGGGAAAATTGCTGTAAGTGTTGCCATGTTATATACAGTATGTTAAAAGATAGATTAAAGGGCTGATTTTTGAGAGACTGGCTGTTAGCGTCCTGAAGAATAGCATGTCTATGGACAAATCATATAAAATATTAATATAAAAAATTTTGAATTGATTGACCTTATCATTAGTAGTATTAATCAATTGTAGTCCATGATTTCAAGGTAATGTAAATGAACAACAGAGGCATTATTCTGTAGCTCTGATAAACTGGATTACTAATTAACAAGAGAATCATAAACATTGATTTAAAGGTAGAACTTTAAGAGGATTCCAAAAATATTTCAGTGGTAGGCAGTTTTCAATTTGTGAGCTTGGTGTAATATTCTGGTATTTGATTCTTGCCTGGTTGCCTCTCTGATAGTTGGTGTTGTAAGCTTGGGCTGGAAACTTGTGGCCAACACCCCTCACTGCATCATCTCCCCTCCCTCCCCCCAGGGTAGTGCCCATGGTCACATCTGCTGGCAAGATGGGCTGAAGACAGGAAGGAGAGAGAGTGGTCATCGCTGGGCTCGATGGGGACGTAGATCGGGCGGGTTCATCTTGATTCTGTGGGGTTTGAAGAGCAGTAAAGTGTTGCCTTTGTGGGGGTCTTCTGGGTCTGCTTTCTTAATAATGAGTTGTGAAGTGGTTAAAGGCAGCTGTCTTGCCAATCTTCATTTCCTTTAGTATGGAATGTTTAGATTGCCCCACTGACATTCTGAGAACACAGATCTTCATTAATGCTGTGTATATATTTCTGCCTTTTTAAATTCTTGTATTATGGGAGATAGTTTCATAGGCCATATTTTATTTTTTATTTTTTAACACATCAACAACTAGACTATTGAGTGCACTTGTGCTGCTAGAGGTTACTGATGGTTTAACTTGCTCTTCATACTCTGGGTTACTCAAGCAAGCATTGCCTTTAATACAATTATTTTTGTCATGGGAGTTCTCTAGATTTGGCTATATGGTATTTATCCAGATTTCTCAGCTTTTGCTTCCATGATAGTTATGACGTCCACATAAAGCTTAAAAATTAATGAGTGGTTTTGAGACCACTTCCATGGAATTCCACTGAACTGGAGATGATGATATCATTAGCAGTGCATTTTTGTTGGTGCACACGTTTGTTAACGTGGACATTTTGTCAGTGCGTGGCAGTTCCCAAAACTGCCACTAGAGGGGTTGGAAAGCTGCACATCAATACAATTATAGGGGTAAATGTATGGAAGATGCAGGATGGCAGAGGACAAGAGTATAAGGTGTGAGTTGGTAGTATAAAAAAAAATTCATTGTGATCATTAAGACGAAGGAAGAGGGCGAGATATGATGTGATTGCAAGAATATAAAAGAATGAAGTAAGAGTTAGTAAGATTAGTACACGTCCAATAGTCTGGAAAGGTGAAACGTAGGATTATACGCAGGAAAGGTTCCACGAGGACATGAGGTGGAATACAAAAGGCAAGGAGAGTGCATTTAGATAAGGCTGTTTAGAAATGTTTCTTTTGTGGCCACACTTTTGCATCCCAATACAGGATAATCCTTCACTCAAAGCTCAATGACACTTTATACAAACTGAATAAATTATTGACATTGACCCCAAAAAACTTTAATTAAAAAATAAAAACTGTGGCTGTGAAACACACAAGGAATATATCATACATCCTCAGACATTTTCCACGACCAATGTGCACCAAATATGATGTAATTCAACTATATCAGTTTTGGCATATTAGCCAAAAGGAAACTTTTAGCCGCACTAAGTAAACTATAATTTGTTACGAAAATTATGACAATGAGCCCAAAATTGTTCAAATTGTAACATTACATTTAACAATCTTACACCATATAAACATATGGTGTAAGCACATAAACATATGGCGTAAGCACATAAACATATGGTGTAAATTTGAAGTGATTCGCCATGTTCATTAGTTATCCGAAATGAAAATTCCAATAAAATATTCACCATATATTTTTGTACTATGATGTACAAAATCTATGTACCAAATCTAACTAGCTTTTTTTATGTTGAGATAATACCTGCAAATAACCCTTAATGTAAAAAAAAGCTTGGACAAAATGGTTTGGTCACACGTGCCGTCAACAATATTATCCACCTCACCTTCCTTAGCCATGTTCATTTCTGTTTGAAAACTAATGTTGAAGATTTCTAAAGATTTTCCTGGATATAAAATGTTTAAAACTGAAGATAATAATTATTGAAAGGCAGTCCAGGAAGACTTGTGCCCTAATTCCATTATATTGTAATTCATTTAGGCAACACTACGGGTACATTTAGGTACACTGTGTGGTGCTTCCAGAGACCACCAACCCATACTATATTATACTGCCCAGGTCACCCCCCCCCCCTCCAGCCACATTACACTTCACGTTCCCTGCCCAGCCACATTATAACTCCTCGGTCAGACGTCTCCCACCACACCATATCTACCATGAACACCATACCCTACCACACACTATCTCCCAAGGCAACCATTGATTTATTAAAGTCTCCAGAATTCACTTGGTGAGCCCATACTGGACTTTTTACTACTTCCAGGTATTTTCTTTGCTATCAAAGTGGTAGACAAGGTGTACCATTTTGTGTGGTACAATAGTATGATGGTTATCTTGAGGTTATCTTGAGATGATTTCGGCGCTTTTTAGTGTCCCCGCGGCCCGGTCCTCGACCAGGCCTCCACCCCCAGGAAGCAGCCCGTGACAGCTGACTAACACCCAGGTACCTATTTTACTGCTAGGTAACAGGGGCATAGGGTGAAAGAAACTCTGCCTATTGTTTCTCACCAGCGCCTGGGATCGAACCCAGAACCACAGGATCACTAGTCCAGCGTGCTGTCCGCTCGGCCGACCGGCCCCCCTTTGATACTGTAGTACATGATTTTTCACTAAGCTCTCTCTCTACAAGGATTGTATTAGCTACTACTGGAAGAAATGGTCTCTAAACTAGTTTGTTGAGGTGACAGCTAGGACTACTGGGAAGTTAGGGAGAATTCATGTGATAGAAACATTACATTTTTTGTCTCATACTGTTTTCTAAGTAATACAATACTTGTGTAATATGCATTGTGTGTGGTGTGAATACCAGGACAAACTTTTGTTTTAAATACAGGTTTGCCGCTTTCTCCTGCATGTGTAATGTTAGGTAATTTAATGCATAGATTAACCCCAGATGAAGACACAGTATCTAACTGTAATATGGACTCTTACGATAATAATGTATATATTATTGGGTAAGGTTCAAACCCTTAATACAGTATACCCATCCATTTTTCTCCATCCATTTTCCCCATTATTGTAAATAAATAAACTTCAATGTTACTGTAAATAATACCTGAATAATTTCACATGATATAAATATGAAAGCTTACCCCTTGGTCAAGTGGATGCTCATTTGTATGTTCAACGCTGAGTTCTGCCTCACGGATACTTGCAATTGGCATATCCGAGATGCCTCCACATGATGATTCTGTGTCGCCGTCTCCTTTGTCTCCTTTTGTACGTTGGCGCTCCTCCTGAAAGTCATGAAGAAACACAATTGTTACAACAAATAAAACTGTATTCAGATATAAAATCCGATGATAAAGTCTATTACAGCGGCCACGTTCATCAAAAGCACATTTAGTGCGTATCCTTTGAGAATTATGGCTTGCATTCATGGCCAGTGTGAAAGGACTTTATCATACATTTTTCTATGATGGATGGAGAGCTTATGTCAATTTTGTTTCATAATTTCAATCACTCTAATTTGTATTGAGTCTAAGGCTCCCAATCCATCATCGTGTATACAACAATCATGCAGACAACAGAAAGTTAAGGATGTCTGCCCAGTGCAGAACAACCAAGCCCACCTCTACTGCCCCTACCTGGACCGCTTCTCTCTTCATGCCCATGGATAAACATTTCTGGTATCGGCAATACTGGCATCGGTTCCTTTGTCTCTTGTCAATGGTGCAGGATCTGTCCTCTCGACAGGCATAAGTTAGGTCTTTGCGAACTGTTCGTTTGAAAAATCCTTTGCAGCCCTCACAGCTGTAAAATGTGTGAAAATAATATTAAGCTCAATGTTAAAGCCATAAATATACAGTAATGAATAAAGTACTTTGTTACTGTAAATGTCTTTTTAAAAGTCAGTAATGTAGAGTAGACCATATACTTTATAAGTACTTTAGTACTTATAAAGATAATAAGTACTTTAGTACTTATAAAGATAATAAGTACTTATAAAGATAATAAGTACTTTAGTACTTATAAAGACCATATACTCACATACCAGTGCATGTATATGTAGTGCTTATTTTGTGTATAGCAATATTATTGTGTCTTACTATCACATCCTTGTCTCTTGTAACTCATGCAGTGCAAGCTAACCTCGATTTTATTAATGTTTTATACTTTGAAGTATATTAAACAGCATTTGTTTCATCACAACAAATTTCATATATTCTACCACTTCTGTTGTACCCTTAGGTGCTTCAAAGATGACATGAAAGATAATGTTTACTCACATTACTAATGAGTGTACAAATCTGTTTTATACAACACGGTATCTTTGTAGCTAGAAAGTGGTAGATGTTTTACTGATATGAGAGTAATGAATTTTGCTCTGAAATATCTTTGGAACACTTTTTTATATATATATATATATATAGAGTGTATATATATATACATAAGCATTCTTACATTCTTGTACAGCCACTAGTACGCGTAGCATTTCGGGCAAGTCCTTGATCCTATGTTCCCTGGAATACGACCCCCCGCGAAGAATTGTTTTTACAACCAGGAACCCATTTTACTGTTGAGTTAAACAGAGACAACAGTTAAGGATTTGCGCCCAGTAAATCCTCCCCGGCCAGGATACGAACCCAGAACAAAGCGCTCGTGGAACGCCAGGCGAGTGTCTTACCACTATGCCACGGAGACTGATACTACTACTATATTCTTCTCATAGCTTGGCATAACACAAGGCTTCTCTACTACAAACTGCATCAAAGCCATCATCACTTGACAAAAATCAGCTATACTGTATAAGAAATTGTCTTTTGGCAACATAGAACTCTTCTGTTCAAATCTATAGGCATGCTAAATATGCATACAGTACTGTATTCCATACATGTTCTCGGTCTTGTTGACCAGACCACACACTAGAAGGTGAAGGGACGACGACGTTTCGGTCCGTCCTGGACCATTCTCAAGTCTCACAGTGGACTTGAGAATGGTTCAGGACGGACCGAAACGTCGTCGTCCCTTCACCTTCTAGTGTGTGGTCTGGTCAACATTATTTAGCCACGTTATTGTGACTCATCGCTTGCATGTTCTCAGTCTTCTGTACTGTACTTAGAAAACTTTGTTTCTGTACTATCTCTTTACACACTCCCTTGATGGATGTAATTGCACTAATTAATATTATTACACAAGAAGTAATTCCCTGTAACTTTTTGATTGTGTACATACATCTATGCAAACACCAGGTAAATTAATGTATCTGTGATATGGAACTCCTTTTATATTGTGATGAAGTAATGAACAACATTTACTTTTTAAAAATTAAAATAGAATTTAATTTCCTTGTTAGAAATTCACCATCCTTTTATCCACATTATGCAACCTGTAGTAACAGTACTAAATTGTCATTACCTTAAACAAAACAGGAGCTCTGCTCTACATGTTAACTATAAAATATATCCACTAGTTTAAGTGTCCATTAAAGCACATGAGTTTTAAGACTGTATGTCACTTCACTGCTAAAATCACTAAATTCTTACTGTATATTTTATTTGTTTTGTTAGCCACTAGACCTGTCTAAAATACGCTGCCTATTAGTGACTTTGCAAGAAGGTAAGCAAGTAATTTGACTACTATCAATTTTCATGAATTTGTAGCTGTTCATTGTACTAATATTTATGCATTGTATAGCCACCCCAAAATTGTTACAAAACTCAATGTACCTTCTTGTAAAAAAAAAATAATCATCATGCTATGTGAGGGCATATTGTAATCGAGTACTGTAATTACCAAAAAAGGGTACCAGGCTGGGAAACTAGTTGACGTAAAAGAACCAGGCAGTTGTGTTTGAAGTAAAAATAGCCATGTGCATGCAAATACTGTACAGTATTGCAATAAAATTTGGATTTTTTGAATTAAGATTATACTAAATATATAAAAAATTTCAATGTCTTCCTCTGGAATTTATGTAACAAGATGGCTACTGTAAAAACAGATCAGGATAGCAGTTACAATATTTTATTGTTAAACTAAATATGGTTACACTGTACGAAGGTATAGTAATTGACAAAAATACTGTACCCGAATTCACCCAAGGGCCACCATCTCGCCAGTGGCCTTGACAAGGACAGGAAGCCGGTGGCTTGTTAACAGCCCCTCCCCCCCCCCCCACTAAGTACCCCAAGACTCCTATGGGAATATATCTTATGACAAACTACAGCACTGTGTTGCATTATGAGTAAATCATAAAAAATAAACTTTATAAATTGTTGAATATTATTATTTAAACTACTAAGAGGGCAACATGACTGAAAATATACATTGTATAGTGTTACCAAGTTCAGTACTTAAGTCTAAGAGAAATTTGGACAGTACTATTGCTGTATTCCAATAAGAGAAGTGTTCATGCAGATGATGAGTTGCAATAACATGGCTTGAAGATATGAGAACTAAACCACACACCAGAAGACGAGGAGACGGCGACGTTTTGGTCCGTCCTGGACCATTATCAAGTCGATAAGGAAACCTCGTCGTCTCGTCTTCTGGTGTGCGGCTTAGTTCTCAGACGGGTTCATGTGAATTAAATGTCCATGTAGAATAGGTAATTTTTTGTAGTAACCTGTAGATATGGAATACTGTACCTTCGACCCTGGTCAAAGTTTTTAAAAAGCATTTTACCGTCAAATATTATGCTACTTTGTCATGCCATGTGTCGCTCCATCTGATTATTTTGTTTAGATAATTTTGAGGGGCATAACATTCATCTAAGTCTTTTGCTTTCCTAGTAGCTAGAATGTTCCATCAACATATTCACACAACTTCGAATACCATCAGGCAGCTCATTTATATAGTCAATGAAGATTACTGGGGTACTCATATTGTACTGAACCTTGTACAACTCCACTGATGACATTTTATCCCGAAAGATTCTCTCATTACTGCTCTAATTTTTCTATCCTGAAATTTCTCATCTCTCCTTCATAAGTGAAAGGTATTATCTGAATTACCTGATGTCTTGGAATTGTGTTAAAAATATCAGATCATTTTTATATGGTGATGTGATGTAGACAGTTGAGTATGAAGCAGTATGGTGCAACTGTGGTGTTGGCACCAGGGGAAGTGTTGGGTCAACCGACACCGGTCTTATGTTAGTAATTGACTCATCATTATCAGCAGACACTTGCATTATCCGGATCACCAGGAGGAGAATGCATCAACTGCCATATTCATACAGTGGAAACAGGACAACTATATCACAGCAAGAGTGAAGCTCCATGGTGAGGGAGAAGGTAACAGTGTACATGGTGAGGGAAAAGGTAACAGTGTACATGGTGAGGGAGAAGGTAACAGTGTACATGGTGAGGGAGAAGGTAACAGTGTACATGGTGAGGGAGAAGGTAACAGTGTACATGGTGAGGGAGAAGGTAACAGTGTACATGGTGAGGGAGAAGGTAACAGTGTACATGGTGAGGGAGAAGGTAACAGTGTACATGGTGAGGGAGAAGGTAACAGTGTACATGGTGAGGGAGAAGGTAACAGTGTACATGGTGAGGGAGAAGGGAACAGTGTACATGGTGAGGGAGAAGGGAACAGTGTACATGGTGAGGGAGAACTGGATCTTGCCAATGTGTGTACATGGTGAGGGAGAAGGTAACAGTGTACATGGTGAGGGAGAAGGTAACAGTGTACATGGTGAGGGGGAAGGTAACAGTGTACATGGTGAGGGAGAAGGTAACAGTGTACATGGTGAGGGAGAAGGTAACAGTGTACATGGTGAGGGAGAAGGTAACAGTATACATGGTGAGGGAGAAGGTAACAGTGTACATGGTGAGGGAGAAGGTAACAGTGTACATGGTGAGGGAAAAGGTAACAGTGTACATGGTGAGGGAAAAGGTAACAGTATACATGGTGAAGGAGAAGGTAACAGTGTACATGGTGAGGGAGAAGGTAACAGTGTACATGGTGAGGGAGAAGGTAACAGTGTACATAGGTAATGAAGATAGAAGGTAACAGTGTACATGGTGAGGGAGAAGGTAACAGTGTACATGGTGAGGGAGAAGGTAACAGTATACATGGTGAGGGAGAAGGTAACAGTGTACATGGTGAGGGGGAAGGTAACGGTATACATGGAGACTTTCACCATGAACAGTTGGCAGTTTATTCCACATTTTCTGACAGTTCTCAAAGTCGTGATGTCATTTGTGGCAATCTATTTCTGCGAGGCTGGCTACCATGACTGCCATTAAACCAAGAAAGGGATAAACTGGATCTTGCCAATGTGTTCCGATGTGCTCGGGCTGCGACAAGGCCTCGCTTCTCAAAGCTGTTAAAAAAACAGCAGTTTGAGCCACCAACTGATAGTTTCAACTGTGATATATTGCTTGAACTTACTGAAGACAGGACTAGGGACTACATGGTATTGGTTATTATGCATATTAATTTATCTTTCATTAAGGTTGAGTATTAATGACTTATCTATGTATGACTAAATATCTTGGAATATAAAACGAGAATAATACGTTTTCTCGTATTTGCTATTTTTGTTATAATAAACTAGGGCTAGTTATGGATTTTGTGGCCAGCTCAATGGTGACACTATCAGAAAGGTTAAAACTATAGCTTGAAGGTAATTATAAGACGGGAATGTTTGACTATTGGTAAGTAAAGGTTGTTTATTGTGTGACTATTGTGCACTACACTGCTATATTTACTAAGTGCTCCATGTAATTTGTAAACAGCCTGCCCAAAATATATTACTACTGTAGATTAATTATACTTAAACATTGTTGTCCACCGTACATGCTGATGCAAAAGTATGATTACTGCAGTGAAGAATAATGTATGTATTATATTTATATATTTATATATACAAGAGTTCTTACATTCTTGTACAGCCACTAGCACACATAGCGTTTCGGGCAGGTCCTTAATCCTATGTTCCCTGGAATACGACCCGCCAAATCGTTTAACAATCAGGCATATTAAATAAAACTTAAAACAAAGTGAAACTTGTATACTATAAAATTGACTTAAGTGGACTTGACGGAGTGTGTGAGAGAAGGGTAGAGAGGTGACTGTACCTGTAGACGCCATAGTGCTTGCCAGAGGCGCGGTCGCCACAGATGGAACACAAGTGCTTGGAGCCCGACAACGGGTGACTGGGAGGGTACTGGTTGGGTGAGGTGCTCAGGCTGTTGCTGCTGCTGTTGCTGGAACTGAGCATATTACCACTCGACCCAATGGTGAAGGGAGGCGTTGATATACTGAAAGAACACGGCGAATACTCACAATGTGAAAAACTTTTAGTTAAGTTTATGCACATGATGAATACCCAGATAACATACTATTAATTTACAAACAGTTACGTATAAATGACGACATAAATTCAAAGGTGGCAATGAAAATAAAGTCATTAAACAAGAGAGACAGGCAAAACAGTAATAATATTAAATACAATAAAATGAATATGTAGTTTATGTACTGTAATATTTATTTGTAGCCAAAGTGGATCAAACTTTCATAATTATGGATTATGAAAGTATAAATAAAAATGACAAATTGTCTCTGAGTGGTAGGTTAGTGTGATTGTGTGTATGGTAGAGCTGACCTACCTTGGGGAGGCTGGTCCGCCATTGGTGGTGGAGAAGGTAGAGGTGGAGGAGGGGGAGAGTAGGGTGTCGGGCGCCACGCTCAAGGGTGACTGCCGCTCCACCGACCCTGACATGCCGATTTCCAGACCTGTGAGCATATATGTTGCCATTAACACGAATCTTCACCATAATTGTCCAGGTTTTCTCAAGTCTAAACATTCATGGATGAGGTTCTTATTAATGAAAACCCTTTAGTTAAGAGTTTCAATATCTGATGTCTCATGGCATCACTGTACTATTACCTCATGTGAACATGACCAAATACAGCATGGCATCAGCCAGGAAAATGATATGATGGATTATGAGAACCTTCATAAACAGGGCTTCCACTACAATGCTTAATATTCAATTCACTTGTGCTTTCCTGCCTTCAGTACTGCTCAATACTTCCCCCTTCAGAGCAGGAGAGATTACTGAAGTAGAGGGAGTACAGAGAACATATACGGCATGTATACGATAAAGTCCGCGGTCCTGTGAATCTCACAGCCACTAAATTCATAATTTCCATACCACGAACCACTAATATGATCCCATGGACCGCTAATTAGCAGGCCCACATATATCTGCTTGATGGGGTTCTGGGAGTTGTTCTACTCCCCAAGCCCGGCCCGAGGCCAGGCTTGACTTGTGAGAGTTTGGTCCACCAGGCTGTTGCTTGGAGCGGCCCGCAGGCCCACATATACCTGGTTGATGGGGGTTCTGGGAGTTCTTCTACTCCCCAAGTCCCACCTGAGGCTAGGCTTGACTTGTGAGAGTTTGGTCCACCAGGCTGTTGCTTGGAATGGCCCGCAGGCCTACGTGTCCACCATAGCCCGGCTGGTCCGGCACTCCTTGGAGAAAATTATCTAGTTTTCTCTTGAAGATGTCCATGGTTGTTCCGGCAATATTTCTTATGCTCGCCATGAGAATGTTGAACAACCGCGGACCTCTGATGTTTATACTGTGTTCTCCGATTGTGCCCACGGCACTCCTGCTCTTCATTGGTTCTATTCTGCATTTTCTTCCAATGCAGAATAGTCGGTTTTTCAGCTTCCATGTCGGTGAAGCTCTGAGCGAGGGATATGTCTGTCCTACACACCGCCCCCCCATCCAGTGGAAAAATAGAATCCTCTCCATTGCCTGCCACGGACCACTAATAAGAACTTACTCCAACGGTTATTTTTGTTAAAACAATTACTTGCTTTTGCATATTTTCACGCATTCCTTGAAAATATTTAAGTGGTTTTCTAACTAAATCTGGGTGTTTTGACTGGCAGTGTCTTGAGAGTTTGGAAAATTTCATGGCATCACTGGATAAACTCACAGAAAAACACAACACAAAGTGGCCATGGATGATGCAGCTCACTACCAAGTTCTTGAATAAATGCATATTTCAAGTAGTTCAAAATCATATTTTCTTGATATTTTGAGTTTGTTCTTCTCTCCGGCTCCAGTTGGACTGTTCTTGGTAATGGTGGGTGACGAGGACTGTGGAGGCTCTGAACCATTGGTCACCTCACAGTTAAGTGTACACATTACTGTTGTTACTATTATCATCATTTACATTATCTTTTGTAGTATTAACCAAATGCAAAATATTTTTTTTTTTAACTCATTATGGGTTTATTGCAGTCGAATCTGAAACCAAACAAGAAATGATAGTTATGAAAGTCAAACTATTTGATGCCATTAAATATAACAGAAAATACAATGTTACATACAATATACAAATAAAATAAAATCTTCAGAATATAAGAATTTCTTAATATTATTTTTGTTTTATTATTAATAAAACAAAAAATGCAAATAATGTCCAGATTTTTCTGGAGACCAGCGGTTGGTGACCACTGCGATAAAGCACTATTGGGAATGTCTCAAAACTCTCAAAATGTGCTCTTTGCGAAGAAGATGAGAGCAGTATAGAATAATATATACAGTACATGGAAGATACTGGAGGGCCAGGTCCCAAATTTGCACAACATACTAGAACGAAAGGTGCAGAAAGAAATACATAATAGTCAGTAAAGAGCAGAGGTGCCATAGGCATACTGTAATAGAACTCAGAGAGTATTGAATAGCCGTGGATCTCTAACTAAACGTAAGAAATATTGCCGGTATAAAAGTGGATGTGTTCATGAGAAAATTCCACATTCCACAAAGAAGTGCCAGATCAACTTTGTTGTAGTAGCTAATGCGGTCCGCTCCGCAACTGCCTGTTGGACCTGTTGGCTTGGATCAGGCCCTGGTCCAAGCTTGGGGAGTAGAAGTACTCCTTGTTGTTTTAGATTTAGCTACTCAGAACAAAATTTCCATGTAGCACGGGCTATGGTGAGCCCGTAAAGAAAAACCTTAACCTAACCGCAGATAGTGTTGACAACAGCAGTAATGATGTAGTCGTTCCCAGACTATTTCCTTGAGCAGATCTCCCTGAGGACAGGTTGAATTATGATGCAACTGAAAACAATGGAATAAAATTGTGCAAATTTAGATATAAAGAAGATGTAAGTAAACACTGTTGTGCACCAAAGAAAATGAAGAGACCCCACAAGTTTAAATGCAGCAGATAACTTATTTAGCTTACATAATAGAATAAAGAATCAGGTGTAAATAGGATCTGCCGGTATTTCCTACATGTTTTGTTCCTAAAGACTTACCCACACCAACCATGACACACAAGTGTGGTGGCCTCGTCGGGGGGGGGGGGGGGGGGGTATACAGTATATATATATATATAAAGGAATATGTGACGTCATTGTGTGTGTTGTGTCAGGGAGCTGGACACCCTCATAAATACTGTCAAGCAGTATCCTCCCCCGCGATACCAGCCACATAGTAAGGACTGACGATTTAAATGCGAGCGCAGCACAAAGTATATCCTTTTACAACCAAAGATCACGTTCACTCCAAGAAATCTACCACTTACGGGCTATTCATGCCCATGCCACCTATTGGGTGGCTTAATCTTCATCAATAAATCTGTTGTGGTGTGCGCCAGAGTAATGGTGCGAAGCATCTTAACTGGTGCACAACGTCAAATTAATGGTGTAAGGTATGTGGGAGAAAACCCACGGTGGGGTGAAAGGATGTCACACTGTATATGGAGGCTAGAGGTGACCTTGCTTCTATACCTGGATGGGGGTTCTGGGAGTTCTACACAACAAGCCCAGGCCCCAGGCAAGGCTTGACTTGTGAGCTTGGTCCACCAGGCTGTTGCTTCAAGTGGACCCCAGGCCTACATATCCATTACAGCCCGGCTGGTCCGGCACTTCTTGCAGACAACTGTCCACTTTTTTCTTGACGATTTCCACTGTTGTTCCGGCAATGTTTCTTATTCCTGCTGAGAGGGGTGTTGAACAACCGTGGACCTCTGATGTTTATACAGCTTTCTTGTATTGTGCCTATGGCACCCCTGCTCTTGACTGGCCCTATTCCACATTTTCTTCCATATGTGCCACTCTAGTTTGTTGTTTTAGTGCAAATTTTAACCTCGTCTTCCAGTATTTGCCATGTATATATGATTTGGGATCTCTCTTGTCTCCTTTCTAGAGAGTATATTTTGAGAGCTTTGAAACAGTCCCAATAGTTAAGGTGCTTTATCGTGTCTATATGTATGCCGTATATGTTCTTTGAATTCCTTCAATTTCGGCAATTTCTCCTGTTTTGAAGGGGAAAGTGAGTACTGAGCAGTACTCAAGCCAGGACAGCACAAGTGATTTGAAGAGTACAACCATTGTGATGGGATCCCTGGATTTGAAAGTTCTCATAATCCATCCTATCATTTTTCTGACTGATGCAATATTTGCTTGGTTATGCTCCCTAAACGTTAGGTCGTTAGACATCATTATTCCCAGATTCTTTACATGTTGCTTTCCCTAATATACACAGATTTCATTGTGTTTTGTAACTTGTATTTTGTTTAATGTCTTAATTTTTACCATGCCAAAGTAACTGGAACTTATCACTATTAAACATCATGTTATTTTCTGCTGCCCAGTTGAAAACTTTATTAATATCTGCTTGTAGTTTTTCAATGTCTTCAACAGAAGTACATTCCATGCTGATTTTTGTGTTATCTACAAAAGATGATACGAAGCTGTGACTTGTATTTTTGTCTATATCTGATATGAGAATAATGAAAAGCAGTGGTGCAAGGACTGTGCCCTGAGGTACAAAGCAGTGATGCAAGGACTGTGCCCTGAGGTACAAAGCAGTGATGCAAGGACTGTGCCCTGAGGTACAGAGCAGTGATGCAAGGACTGTGCCCTGAGGTACAGAGCAGTGGTACAAGGACTGTGCCCTGAGGTACAGAGCAGTGATGCAAGGACTGTGCCCTGAGGTACAGAGCAGTGGTACAAGGACTGTACCCTGGGGTACAGAGCAGTGATGCAAGGACTGTGCCCTGAGGTACAGAGCAGTGATGCAAGGACTGTGCCCTGAGGTACAGAGCAGTGATGCAAGGACTGTGCCCTGAGGTACAGAGCAGTGATGCAAGGACTGTGCCCTGAGGTACAGAGCAGTGATGCAAGGACTGTGCCCTGAGGTACAGAGCATTGGTGCAAGGACTGTGCCCTGAGGTACAAAGCAGTGATGCAAGGACTGTGCCCTGAGGTACAGAGCAGTGATGCAAGGACTGTGCCCTGAGGTACAGAGCAGTGGTACAAGGACTGTGCCCTGAGGTACAGAGCAGTGATGCAAGGACTGTGCCCTGAGGTACAGAGCAGTGGTACAAGGACTGTACCCTGAGGTACAGAGCAGTGGTGCAAGGACTGTGCCCTGAGGTACAGAGCAGTGATGCAAGGACTGTGCCCTGAGGTACAGAGCAGTGATGCAAGGACTGTGCCCTGAGGTACAGAGCAGTGGTGCAAGGACTGTGCCCTGAGGTACAGAGCAGTGATGCAAGGACTGTGCCCTGAGGTACAGAGCAGTGGTGCAAGGACTGTGCCCTGAGGTACAGAGCAGTGATGCAAGGACTGTGCCCTGAGGTACAGAGCAGTGATGCAAGGACTGTGCCCTGAGGTACAGAGCAGTGATGCAAGGACTGTGCCCTGAGGTACAGAGCAGTGGTGCAAGGACTGTGCCCTGAGGTACAGAGCAGTGGTGCAAGGACTG